AGCAGCAGTAGTGAGCAGCAGTAGTGAGCAGCAGTAGTGAACAGCAGTAGTGAGCAGCAGTAGTGAGCAGCAGTAGTGAACAGCAGTAGTGAGCAGCAGTAGTGAGCAGCAGTAGTGAACAGCAGTAGTGAGCAGCAGTAGTGAGCAGCAGTAGTGAGCAGCAGTAGTGAGCAGCAGTAGTGAGCAGCAGTAGTGAGCAGCAGTAGTGAACAGCAGTAGTGAACAGTAGTGAGCAGCAGTAGTGAACAGCAGTAGTGAGCAGCAGTAGTGAGCAGCAGTAGTGAGCAGCAGTAGTGAGCAGCAGTAGTGAGCAGCAGTAGTGAACAGTAGTGAGCAGCAGTAGTGAGCAGCAGTAGTGAGCAGCAGTAGTGAGCAGCAGTAGTGAGCAGCAGTAGTGAGCAGCAGTAGTGAACAGTAGTGAGCAGCAGTAGTGAGCAGCAGTAGTGAGCAGCAGTAGTGAACAGCAGTAGTGAGCAGCAGTAGTGAACAGCAGTAGTGAGCAGTAGTAGTGAACAGTAGTGAGCAGCAGTAGTGAGCAGCAGTAGTGAACAGCAGTAGTGAACAGTAGTGAGCAGCAGTAGTGAGCAGCAGTAGTGAGCAGCAGTAGTGAACAGCAGTAGTGAGCAGCAGTAGTGAACAGCAGTGAGCAGAATCTCCAAGTCTGTCCTGTCAAAACTACCGCTGCTTTTGCGTTTGTGTCTTCCGCTGCCAGTTTGAACGTGTTTATAGAGAATAATGGTCTTCCTCACTCTCACAGTGAATCGCAGTCGTTATGGTGCAGGTCACTGATGAGGGACTTCATCAGGCGTGTTACTGATATTTAGACATACATTCCATTTCATAGCTCATTAACCTAATGCTGCTCTATCCAGCCCTGTCTCTGCTTCAGCCTCTTACTCCATCTCCTCCTGATTCGCTGGACAAAGATCCTACATTTTCACAGATTGGACTGGAATGAACTAGAACGAAGGCAGGGCAGGTTTATTTGTATAGCACAGGTCATACACAGGGAAAATAAAAGTCCTGAACAAAACAAGAGCGTGTTCTTATTTGTCATAGCCCTGAGCTCCGGGCGTCATGCTGAGCTCGCACTTCTACAGCGGACGCAAACACATGATTCACCCCAAACACGCTGAGACGCCGGCCGCCTCCTGCCAGCAGGGGGCGCTCTGAGAGGGAGGAGGCCGACATTTATTTGTGGGACTCTTGACCATCATAAGCCCTGACTTCAGTTTAGTGTGGGGCGAGATGGGTGTATTTCTGTTAGGGCTGAAACATTGAATAAATAATCACTAACTATGAATTTGCTTTGTCTCAAGGAGTAAAAAGGTGAACACAAGGAACAATGTAACATTTATGTCTTAAAATTACTACTTATACAAATGCACTACACACAATACACAATACACTACGCACACACAATACACAATACACTACGCACTACACAAATGCACTACGCACACACAATACACATATATACTGTATATACACATTTAGCAGAACAGATGCGACTCTTGTATTTCCCTAAATCACTGATCACAGAATCAAACACAGAGACCACATGGTATTGGACCAAAGGGAGAGACCACATGGTACTGGACCATAGGGAGAGACCACATGGTATTGGACCATAGGGAGAGACCACATGGTATTGGACCAAAGGGAGAGACCACATGGTATTGGACCATAGGGAGAGACCACATGGTATTGGACCATAGGGAGAGACCACATGGTATTGGACCATAGGGAGAGACCACATGGTACTGGACCATAGGGAGAGACCACATGGTATTGGACCAAAGGGAGAGACCACATGGTATTGGACCATAGGGAGAGACCACATGGTATTGGACCATAGGGAGAGACCACATGGTATTGGACCGTAGGGAGAGATCACATGGTATTGGACCATAGGGAGAGACCACATGGTATTGGACCATAGGGAGAGACCACATGGTATTGGACCGTAGGGAGAGACCACATGGTATTGGACCGTAGGGAGAGATCACATGGTATTGGACCATAGGGAGAGACCACATGGTATTGGACCATAGGGAGAGACCACATGGTATTGGACCGTAGGGAGAGATCACATGGTATTGGACCATAGGGAGAGACCACATGGTATTGGACCATAGGGAGAGACCACATGGTATTGGACCATATGGAGAGACCACATGGTATTGGACCATAGAGAGAGACCACATGGTGTTGGTCCATAGAGAGAGACCACATGGTATTGGACCAAAGGGAAAGACCACATGGTATTGGACCATAGGGAGAGACCACCTGGTATTGGACCAAATGGAGAGACCACATGGTATTGGACCAAAGGGAGAGACCACATGGTGTTGGTCCATAGGGAGAGACCACTGTGGTCAGACGAGAGTCTCTATAGGCTGCTGTGGTCAGACCAGAGTCTCTATGGGCTGCTGTGGTCAGACCAGAGTCTCTATAGGCTGCTGTGGTCAGACCAGAGTCTCTATAGGCTGCTGTGGTCAGACCAGAGTCTCTATGGGCTGCTGTGGTCAGACGAGAGTCTCTATAGGCTGCTGTGGTCAGACCAGAGTCTCTATAGGCTGCTGTGGTCAGACCAGAGTCTCTATAGGCTGCTGTGGTCAGACCAGAGTCTCTATAGGCTGCTGTGGTCAGACCAGAGTCTCTATAGGCTGCTGTGGTCAGACCAGAGTCTCTATAGGCTGCTGTGGTCAGACCAGAGTCTCTATAGGCTGCTGTGGTCAGACCAGAGTCTCTATAGGCTGCTGTGGTCAGACCAGAGTCTCTATAGGCTGCTGTGGTCAGACCAGAGTCTCTATAGGCTGCTGTGGTCAGACCAGAGTCTCTATAGGCTGCTGTGGTCAGACCAGAGTCTCTATAGGCTGCTGTGGTCAGACCAGAGTCTCTATAGGCTGCTGTGGTCAGACCAGAGTCTCTATAGGCTGCTGTGGTCAGACCAGAGTCTCTATAGGCTGCTGTGGTCAGACCATAGTCTCTATAGGCTGCTGTGGTCAGGCCAGAGTCTCTATAGGCTGCTGTGGTCAGACCAGAGTCTCTATAGGCTGCTGTGGTCAGACCAGAGTCTCTATAGGCTGCGTGAAGCAGAGAGGCCCGCACACTCTGTTTACTCTGAAGTCATGCTTGTGTGATGTGTGTGGTTTGCGTGATTTTGCCGTGTGGCTGCGCGCCACACACTGTACGACCAAAGTGGTTAGACCCATGATTTTTTATCTCTGTGTGTGGGGTCTCACACGGAGAAAAAATCGACCGACAATTTTAAAATCGTCTTGTGTGAACCAGGCTTAACTGTGTTGTCAAAGTTCACTGTGAATGCATGTTACTTGCTAACTGTTGTCTTTCATGTTTGCATTGTTGATGTCACTAAGTTTGGGTTGTGAAGTGATTTTTGCGTTGTCAGCTTTTGGTGAGACTGGAAACCTTTTTTGGCTAAAATGTTTGAACTGTGTCAACAAACTAATGGTTTGGGACATATGGAATCTTTGGAGTGACAATAATGTGACCGTGATGTAGGTGTGGTTTTGTCTAAATAAATAGACCTGTGACCTAAGGAGTTCAGTGCACGCACGGTCACGGCACCAAGATCAGAGATGTGCCGTGACCATGCAGGCGCTCCTTAATAAAAATTATGCTTGTCTGTTGTGTTGTCTTTGTCCAGGTACTGTAGTTTATTACCATCTTTAACACGGAGGAACTGATAAAAACTGCTGTATTTTGTCTCAGCAGAGAACACCCACTCACCAAAAGCAGGTCTTTTCACCAAACCTTTTATTACACTCACATTTAATAACAATTATTATAATGTGTCGGCTTTAAACAGCGCTTTTAGACCCTCCTTATGGGCATTATTCTTTTTCCTCCAAACATTACTGATAAACTACTACTGTAGCCACAGCTGCCCTGACCACCACCAACCATTCACACCCACCTGGTGGCACCTGGTGTTCCCAGAGGTCTCCCATCACAGTGCTAACCAGGCCCTGCCCTGCACGGCTTTCACAAACACATGGTGACACTATTGGTTCCTACAATATAAAGTGTGTTACTGTGTTTATGTCTCTACTGTCTCTTATCTGGCGCCCGAGGCAGCGGCACTTTCTATTGAAATTGATGGACACATAAAAGTGACATTGATTTGGTTGAACCTGAGCTTCCACTTGTTTCTGCTTCGTAAACTGGAGTTTTTCATCACCGTCTTCAAACGAGTCCTCATGATTTATGTCATAGTGAGTAGAAGGCTGTGCTAAAAACTAAATTATATTTTTAGATGTGTTCAATTAAAATAATGATACAATATTGATTTTTGTCAGTAGTAATATTGTTTTTCCCAATGTTTTGCCTCTGACTGAACAGATGTATGAATACATATAGATCTATTTGATTTCAACATTTTCACTTTCTTATTTCTTTTTCCGTGTGCAATAAATATATAATACAGACCAGACAAATCTAGTAGTTAGTAGTAATTAATCTTCAATACATTGAATACAAACGCTCCAATAGTGTTGTATTTTGTTAATATTCTGCGGATTATTACAAAAGAGGTAAAAAGACCACAATTTTTTCATTGAATCGTATCATATTGTTTTGAAATATTTCTTATTGAATTGAAGTATTTGATAAATTGGTACCAGCAGGAAGTGTCCCCAGCCCTGATATTAAGTGTCCTGTCTTCTCTCTTGGCATTCTGTCCTATTTCTCTCTGTCACGTGTTTTATATCTCATGCATTATATTTGTGTATATATATATATATATATATATATATATATATATATATATATATATATATATATATATGTATTTCATGCATGTTTGAAATAAACAAAAAGTAGTATTGCGTTGAAAATCAGATTCAGTTTATTTGCCTCCTCCAATCCCACAGCGTTTCTGAGCTGCACCACGGCATAACCCGGTATTTAAGTCCATCTTTTTTGAGTATTTAAAATGGAAGACGCATCACATTTTTATGAAGGCCTAAAAAACCATGAGAATATCCGGCGCTTCTAATCCTTTACCTCTTAGCATCGCTGCTATTACTGATAAGAGCACAACAGACGGACGGTAAAACCATTCAATCCATCGGGGAGGGCCATGCATTAACCTTAGACTGATGCTTAAATGTCACAGGCCCTGCCGAGGCGGGAACAAACGGTCCCCGTGGCAACACACCCACCATGGATACAGGAAGTGTTGCCACGTCTCGTTCCAACTCTCGTTCCAACTCTCGTTCAAACTCTCGTTCAAACTCTCGTTCAAACTCTCGTTCAAACTCTCGTTCAAACTCTCGTTCAAACTCTCGTTCATACTCTCGTTCAAACTCTCGTTCAAACTCTCGTTCAAACTCTCGTTCTCGTTCCAACTCTCGTTCCAACTCTCAATTAAACTCTCGTTCCAACTCTCATTCAAACTCTCGTTCAAACTCTTGTTCAAACTCTCGATCAAACAAATGCGAGATCAAATGCTCTCGCAGTCGCTCTCACTCTCGCAGTCTCAGTCGCTCTCGCAGTCGCTCTCACTCTCGCAGTCTCAGTCGCTCTCGCACTCGCAGTCGCTCTCTCAGTCTCAGTCGCAGTCTCAGTCGCAGTCTCAGTCGCAGTCTCAGTCTCAGTCGCAGTCTCAGTCGCAGTCGCAGTCTCAGTCGCAGTCGCAGTCTCAGTCGCAGTCTCAGTCGCTCAGTCGCAGTCTCAGTCGCTCTCGCAGTCTCAGTCGCTCTCGCAGTCTCAGTCGCTCTCGCAGTCTCAGTCGCTCTCGCAGTCTCAGTCGCTCTCGCAGTCTCAGTCGCTCTCTCAGTCGCTCTCGCAGTCGCAGTCGCAGTCGCTCTCGCAGTCGCTCTCGCAGTCGCTCTCGCAGTCGCTCTCGCAGTCGCTCTCGCAGTCGCTCTCGCAGTCTCAGTCGCTCTCGCAGTCGCTCTCGCAGTCTCAGTCGCACTCGCAGTCGCAGTCTCGCAGTCTCAGTCGCAGTCTCAGTCGCAGTCTCACTCGCAGTCGCTCTCTCAGTCGCAGTCACTCTCTCACTCGCAGTCGCTCTCTCAGTCGCAGTCGCTCTCGCAGTCGCTCTCGCAGTCGATCTCGCAGTCGCTCTCACAGTCGCAGTCACTCTCTCACTCGCAGTTGCTCTCGCAGTCTCAGTCGCTCTCTCAGTCGCAGTCACTCTCTCACTCCCAGTCGCTCTCTCAGTCGCGGTCGCTCTCGCAGTCGCTCTCGCAGTCGCTCTCGCAGTCGCTCTTGCAGTCGCTCTATCAGTCGCAGTCGCTCTCGCTCTCGCAGTCGCTCTCGCAGTCGCTCTCGCAGTCGCTCTCGCAGTCGCTCTCGCCGTCGCTCGCGCAGTCGCTCTCGCAGTCGCTCTCTCAGTCGCAGTCGCTCTCTCAGTCGCAGTCTCACTCGCAGTCGCTCTCGCAGTCTCAGTCGCTCTCGCAGTCCCAGTCGCTCTCGCAGTCGCTCTCGCAGTCGCTCTCGCAGTCGCTCTCGCAGTCGCTCTCGCAGTCGCTCTCGCAGTCGCTCTCGCAGTCGCTCTCGCAGTCGCTCTCGCAGTCTCAGTCGCTCTCGCAGTCGCTCTCGCAGTCGCAGTCGCTCTCGCAGTCGCAGTCGCAGTCGCTCTCGCAGTCTCAGTCGCTCTCTCACTCGCAGTTGCTCTCTCAGTCGCAGTCGCTCTCGCAGTCGCTCTCGCAGTCGCTCTCGCAGTCGCTCTCGCAGTCGCTCTCGCAGTCTCAGTCGCTCTCGCAGTCTCAGTCGCTCTCGCAGTCTCAGTCGCTCTCGCAGTCGCTCTCGCAGTCGCTCTCGCAGTCGCTCTCGCAGTCGCTCTCGCAGTCGCTCTCGCAGTCGCTCTATCAGTCGCAGTCGCTCTCGCTCTCGCAGTCGCTCTCGCAGTCGCTCTCGCAGTCGCTCTCGCAGTCGCTCTCGCAGTCGCTCTCGCAGTCGCTCTCGCAGTCGCTCTCGCAGTCGCTCTCGCCGTCGCTCGCGCGGTCGCTCTCGCAGTCGCTCTCTCAGTCGCAGTCGCTCTCTCAGTCGCAGTCTCACTCGCAGTCGCTCTCGCAGTCTCAGTCGCTCTCGCAGTCCCAGTCGCTCTCGCAGTCGCTCTCGCAGTCGCTCTCGCAGTCGCTCTCGCAGTCGCTCTCGCAGTCTCAGTCGCTCTCGCAGTCGCTCTCGCAGTCGCAGTCGCTCTCGCAGTCGCAGTCGCAGTCGCTCTCGCAGTCTCAGTCGCTCTCTCACTCGCAGTTGCTCTCTCAGTCGCAGTCGCTCTCGCAGTCGCTCTCGCAGTCGCTCTCGCAGTCGCTCTCGCAGTCGCTCTCGCAGTCTCAGTCGCTCTCGCAGTCTCAGTCGCTCTCGCAGTCTCAGTCGCTCTCGCAGTCTCAGTCGCTCTCGCAGTCGCTCTCGCAGTCGCTCTCGCAGTCTCAGTCACTCTCGCAGTCGCTCTCGTAGTCTCAGTCGCTCTCGCAGTCGCTCTCGCAGTCGCTCTCGCAGTCGCTCTCGCAGTCGCTCTCGCAGTCGCTCTTGCAGTTGCTCTTGCAGTCGCTCTTGCAGTCGCTCTCGCAGTCTCAGTCGCTCTCGCAGTCGCTCTCGCAGTCGCAGTCGCTCTCGCAGTCGCTCTCGCAGTCGCTCTCGCAGTCGCTCTCGCAGTCGCTCTCGCACTCTCAGTCGCAGTCGCTCTCTCACTCGCAGTCGCTCTCGCAGTCGCAGTCGCTGTCGCAGTCGCTCTCGCAGTCGCTCTCGCAGTCGCAGTCACTCTCGCAGTCGCTCTCTCAGTCGCAGTCACTCTCACTCGCAGTCGCTCTCTCAGTCGCAGTCACTCTCTCACTCGCAGTCGCTCTCGCAGTCGCTCTCGCAGTCGCTCTCGCAGTCGCTCTCGCAGTCTCAGTCTCAGTCGCTCTCGCAGTCGCTCTCGCAGTCGCAGTCGCTCTCGCAGTCGCAGTCGCAGTCGCTCTCGCAGTCTCAGTCGCTCTCTCACTCGCAGTTGCTCTCTCAGTCGCAGTCGCTCTCGCAGTCGCTCTCGCAGTCGCTCTCGCAGTCGCTCTCGCAGTCGCTCTCGCAGTCGCTCTCGCAGTCTCAGTCGCTCTCGCCGTCTCAGTCGCTCTCGCAGTCGCTCTCGCAGTCGCTCTCGCAGTCGCTCTCGCAGTCTCAGTCACTCTCGCAGTCGCTCTCGTAGTCTCAGTCGCTCTCGCAGTCGCTCTCGCAGTCTGTCGCTCTCGCAGTCTCAGTCGCTCTCGCAGTCGCTCTCGCAGTCGCTCTCGTAGTCTCAGTCGCTCTCGCAGTCGCTCTCGCAGTCTCAGTCGCTCTCGCAGTCGCTCTTGCAGTTGCTCTTGCAGTCGCTCTTGCAGTCGCTCTCGCAGTCTCAGTCGCTCTCGCAGTCTCAGTCGCTCTCGCAGTCGCTCTCGCAGTCGCAGTCGCTCTCGCAGTCGCTCTCGCAGTCGCTCTCGCAGTCTCAGTCGCTCTCGCAGTTGCTCTCGCAGTCGCTCTCGCAGTCTCAGTTGCTCTCGCAGTCGCTCTCGCAGTCGCTCTCGCAGTCTCAGTCGCTCTCGCAGTCACTCTCGCAGTCTCAGTCACTCTCTCACTCGCAGTCGCTCTCGCAGTCTCAGTCGCTCTCGCAGTCGCTCTCGCAGTCTCAGTTGCTCTCGCAGTCGCTCTCGCAGTCTCAGTCGCTCTCGCAGTCTCAGTCGCTCTCGCAGTCTCAGTCGCTCTCGCAGTCACTCTCGCAGTCTCAGTCACTCTCTCACTCGCAGTCGCTCTCGCAGTCTCAGTCGCTCTCGCAGTCGCTCTCGCAGTCGCAGTCGCTCTCGCAGTCGCTCTCGCTCTCGCAGTCTCAGTCGCTCTCGCAGTCGCTCTCGCAGTCGCTCTCGCAGTCTCAGTTGCTCTCGCAGTCGCTCTCGCAGTCGCTCTCGCAGTCGCTCTCGCAGTCGCTCTCGCAGTCGCTCTCGCAGTCTCAGTCGCTCTCGCAGCCGCTCTCGTAGTCTCAGTCGCTCTCGCAGTCGCTCTTGCAGTCGCAGTCGCTCTTGCAGTCGCAGTCGCTCTCGTAGTCTCAGTCGCTCTCGCAGTCGCTCTCGCAGTCTCAGTCGCTCTCGCAGTCACAGTCGCTCTCGCAGTCGCTCTCGCAGTCGCTCTTGCAGTCGCTCTCGCAGTCGCTCTCGCAGTCTCAGTCGCTCTCGCAGTTGCTCTCGCAGTTGCTCTCGCAGTCGCTCTCGCAGTCGCTCTCGCAGTCGCTCTCGCAGTCTCAGTCGCTCTCGCAGTTGCTCTCGCAGTCGCTCTCGCAGTCGCTCTCGCAGTCTCAGTCGCTCTCGCAGTTGCTCTCGCAGTCGCTCTCGCAGTCTCAGTCGCTCTCGCAGTCTCAGTCGCTCTCGCAGTCTCAGTCACTCTCTCACTCGCAGTCGCTCTCGCAGTCTCAGTCGCTCTCGCAGTCGCTCTCGCAGTCGCAGTCGCTCTCGCAGTCTTTGTCGCTCTCGCAGTTGCTCTCGCAGTCTCAGTCGCTCTCGCAGTCTCAGTCGCTCTCGCAGTCGCTCTCGCAGTCGCTCTAGCAGTCGCTCTTGCAGTCGCTCTCGCAGTCGCTCTCGCAGTCTCAGTCGCTCTCGCAGTCTCAGTCGCTCTCGCAGTCTCAGTCACTCTCTCACTCGCAGTCGCTCTCGCAGTCTCAGTCGCTTTCGCAGTCGCTCTCGCAGTCGCAGTCGCTCTCGCAGTCGCTCTCGCAGTCGCTCTCGCAGTCTCAGTCGTCGCTCTCGCATTCGCTCTCGCAGTTGCTCTCGCAGTTGCTCTCGCAGTCGCTCTCGCAGTCGCTCTCGCAGTCGCTCTCGCAGTCTCTCTCGCTCTCGCAGTCGCTCTCGCAGTCGCTCTCGCAGTCGCTCTCGCAGTCTCAGTCGCTCTCTCAGTCGCAGTCACTCTCTCAGTCGCAGTCGCTCTCGCAGTCGCTCTCGCAGTCGCTCTCGCACTCTCAGTCGCAGTCGCTCTCTCACTCGCAGTCGCTCTCGCAGTCGCAGTCGCTGTCGCAGTCGCTCTCGCAGTCGCTCTCGCAGTCGCTCTCGCAGTCGCAGTCACTCTCGCAGTCGCTCTCTCAGTCGCAGTCACTCTCACTCGCAGTCGCTCTCTCAGTCGCAGTCACTCTCTCACTCGCAGTCGCTCTCTCAGTCGCAGTCACTCTCACTCGCAGTCGCTCTCTCAGTCGCAGTCGCTCTCGCAGTCGCTCTCGCAGTCGCTCTCGCAGTCGATCTCGCAGTCGCTCTCACAGTCGCAGTCACTCTCTCACTCGCAGTCGCTCTCGCAGTCTCAGTCGCTCTCTCAGTCGCAGTCACTCTCTCACTCCCAGTCGCTCTCGCAGTCGCTCTCTCAGTCGCGGTCGCTCTTGCAGTCGCTCTCGCAGTCGCTCTATCAGTCGCAGTCGCTCTCGCTCTCGCAGTCGCTCTCGCAGTCGCTCTCGCAGTCGCTCTCGCAGTCGCTCTCGCCGTCGCTCGCGCAGTCGCTCTCGCAGTCGCTCTCTCAGTCGCAGTCGCTCTCGCAGTCGCTCTCGCAGTCGCTCTCGCAGTCGCTCTCGCAGTCTCAGTCGCTCTCGCAGTCGCTCTCGCAGTCGCAGTCGCTCTCGCAGTCGCAGTCGCAGTCGCTCTCGCAGTCTCAGTCGCTCTCTCACTCGCAGTTGCTCTCTCAGTCGCAGTCGCTCTCGCAGTCGCTCTCGCAGTCGCTCTCGCAGTCGCTCTCGCAGTCTCAGTCGCTCTCGCAGTCTCAGTCGCTCTCGCAGTCTCAGTCGCTCTCGCAGTCGCTCTCGCAGTCGCTCTCGCAGTCGCTCTCGCAGTCTCAGTCGCTCTCGCAGTCGCTCTCGTAGTCTCAGTCGCTCTCGCAGTCGCTCTCGCTCTCGCAGTCGCTCTCGCAGTCGCTCTCGTAGTCTCAGTCGCTCTCGCAGTCGCTCTCGCAGTCTCAGTCACTCTCGCAGTCGCTCTCGCAGTCGCTCTCGCAGTCGCTCTTGCAGTTGCTCTTGCAGTCGCTCTTGCAGTCGCTCTTGCAGTCTCAGTCGCTCTCGCAGTCGCTCTCGCAGTCGCTCTCGCAGTCGCAGTTGCTCTCGCAGTCGCTCTCGCAGTTGCTCTCGCAGTCGCTCTCGCAGTCGCTCTCGCAGTCTCAGTCGCTCTCGCAGTCGCTCTCGCAGTCGCTCTCGCAGTCGCTCTCGCAGTCGCTCTCGCAGTCGCTCTCGCAGTCGCTCTCGCAGTCGCTCTCGCAGTCGCTCTCGCAGTCTGTCGCTCTCGCAGTCTCAGTCGCTCTCGCAGTCGCAGTCGCTCTCGCAGTCGCTCTCGCAGTCGCTCTCGCAGTCGCTCTCGCAGTCGCTCTCGTAGTCTCAGTCGCTCTCGCGGTCGCTCTCGCAGTTGCTCTCGCAGTCGCTCTCGCAGTCGCTCTCGCAGTCGCTCTCGCAGTTGCTCTCGCAGTCGCTCTTGCAGTCGCTCTCGCAGTCGCTCTCGCAGTCTCAGTCGCTCTCGCAGTCGCTCTCGCAGTCGCAGTCGCTCTCGCAGTCGCTCTCGCAGTCGCTCTCGCAGTCGCTCTCGCAGTTGCTCTCGCAGTCGCTCTTGCAGTCGCTCTCGCAGTCGCTCTCGCAGTTGCTCTCGCAGTCGCTCTCGCAGTCTCAGTTGCTCTCACAGTCGCTCTCGCAGTCGCTCTCGCAGTCTCAGTCGCTCTCGCAGTCTCAGTTGCTCTCGCAGTCTCAGTCGCTCTCGCAGTCACTCTCGCAGTCTCAGTCACTCTCTCACTCGCAGTCGCTCTCGCAGTCTCAGTCGCTCTCGCAGTCGCTCTCGCAGTCGCTCTCGCTCTCGCAGTCGCTCTCGCAGTCTCAGTCGCTCTCGCAGTCGCTCTCGCAGTCTCAGTCGCTCTCGCAGTCGCTCTCGCAGTCGCTCTCGCAGTCGCTCTCGCAGTCTCAGTCGCTCTCGCAGCCGCTCTCGTAGTCTCAGTCGCTCTCGCAGTCGCTCTTGCAGTCGCAGTCGCTCTTGCAGTCGCAGTCGCTCTCGCAGTCGCTCTCGTAGTCTCAGTCGCTCTCGCAGTCGCTCTCGCAGTCTCAGTCGCTCTCGCAGTCACAGTCGCTCTCGCAGTCGCTCTCGCAGTCGCTCTCGCAGTCGCTCTCGCAGTCGCTCTTGCAGTCGCTCTCGCAGTCGCTCTCGCAGTCGCTCTCGCAGTCTCAGTCGCTCTCGCAGTTGCTCTCGCAGTTGCTCTCGCAGTCGCTCTCGCAGTCTCAGTCGCTCTCGCAGTCGCTCTCGCAGTCTCAGTCGCTCTCGCAGTCTCAGTCGCTCTCGCAGTCTCAGTCACTCTCTCACTCGCAGTCGCTCTCGCAGTCTCAGTCGCTCTCGCAGTCGCTCTCGCAGTCGCAGTCGCTCTCGCAGTCTTTGTCGCTCTCGCAGTTGCTCTCGCAGTCTCAGTCGCTCTCGCAGTCGCTCTCGCAGTCGCTCTCGCAGTCGCTCTAGCAGTCGCTCTCGCAGTCGCTCTCGCAGTCGCTCTCGCAGTCTCAGTCGCTCTCGCAGTCTCAGTCGCTCTCGCAGTCTCAGTCACTCTCTCACTCGCAGTCGCTCTCGCAGTCTCAGTCGCTCTCGCAGTCGCTCTCGCAGTCGCAGTCGCTCTCGCAGTCGCAGTCGCTCTCGCAGTCGCTCTCGCAGTCGCTCTCGCAGTCGCTCTCGCAGTCTCAGTCGCTCTCGCAGTCGCTCTCGCAGTTGCTCTCGCAGTTGCTCTCGCAGTCGCTCTCGCAGTCGCTCTCGCAGTCGCTCTCGCAGTCTCAGTCGCTCTCGCAGTCGCTCTCGCAGTCGCTCTCGCAGTCGCTCTCGCAGTCTCAGTCGCTCTCGCAGCCGCTCTCGCAGTCTCAGTCGCTCTCGCAGTCACAGTCGCTCTCTCAGTCTCTGTCGCTCTCTCACTCGCAGTCGCTCTCGCAGTCGCTCTAGCAGTCGCTCTCGCAGTCGCTCTCGCAGTCGCTCTCGCAGTCTCAGTCGCTCTCGCAGTCTCAGTCGCTCTCGCAGTCTCAGTCACTCTCTCACTCGCAGTCGCTCTCGCAGTCTCAGTCGCTCTCGCAGTCGCAGTCGCTCTCGCAGTCGCAGTCGCTCTCGCAGTCGCTCTCGCAGTCGCTCTCGCAGTCTCAGTCGCTCTCGCAGTCGCTCTCGCAGTTGCTCTCGCAGTCGCTCTCGCAGTCGCTCTCGCAGTCGCTCTCGCAGTCGCTCTCGCAGTCGCTCTCGCAGTCTCAGTCGCTCTCGCAGTCGCTCTCGCAGTCGCTCTCGCAGTCTCAGTCGCTCTCGCAGTCGCTCTCGCAGTCTCAGTCGCTCTCGCAGTCGCTCTCGCAGTCGCTCTCGCAGTCGCTCTTGCAGTTGCTCTTGCAGTCGCTCTTGCAGTCGCTCTTGCAGTCTCAGTCGCTCTCGCAGTCGCTCTCGCAGTCGCAGTTGCTCTCGCAGTCGCTCTCGCAGTTGCTCTCGCAGTCGCTCTCGCAGTCGCTCTCGCAGTCTCAGTCGCTCTCGCAGTCGCTCTCGCAGTCGCTCTCGCAGTCGCTCTCGCAGTCGCTCTCGCAGTCGCTCTCGCAGTCTGTCGCTCTCGCAGTCTCAGTCGCTCTCGCAGTCGCAGTCGCTCTCGCAGTCGCTCTCGCAGTCGCTCTCGCAGTCGCTCTCGTAGTCTCAGTCGCTCTCGCGGTCGCTCTCGCAGTTGCTCTCGCAGTCGCTCTCGCAGTCGCTCTCGCAGTCGCTCTCGCAGTTGCTCTCGCAGTCGCTCTTGCAGTCGCTCTCGCAGTCGCTCTCGCAGTCTCAGTCGCTCTCGCAGTCGCTCTCGCAGTCGCAGTCGCTCTCGCAGTCGCTCTCGCAGTCGCTCTCGCAGTTGCTCTCGCAGTCGCTCTTGCAGTCGCTCTCGCAGTCGCTCTCGCAGTTGCTCTCGCAGTCGCTCTCGCAGTCTCAGTTGCTCTCACAGTCGCTCTCGCAGTCGCTCTCGCAGTCTCAGTCGCTCTCGCAGTCTCAGTTGCTCTCGCAGTCTCAGTCGCTCTCGCAGTCACCTCTCGCAGTCTCAGTCACTCTCTCACTCGCAGTCGCTCTCGCAGTCTCAGTCGCTCTCGCAGTCGCTCTCGCAGTCGCTCTCGCTCTCGCAGTCGCTCTCGCAGTCTCAGTCGCTCTCGCAGTCGCTCTCGCAGTCGCTCTCGCAGTCGCTCTCGCAGTCTCAGTCGCTCTCGCAGTCGCTCTCGCAGTCGCTCTCGCAGTCTCAGTCGCTCTCGCAGCCGCTCTCGTAGTCTCAGTCGCTCTCGCAGTCGCTCTTGCAGTCGCAGTCGCTCTTGCAGTCGCAGTCGCTCTCGCAGTCGCTCTCGTAGTCTCAGTCGCTCTCGCAGTCGCTCTCGCAGTCTCAGTCGCTCTCGCAGTCACAGTCGCTCTCGCAGTCGCTCTCGCAGTCGCTCTCGCAGTCGCTCTTGCAGTCGCTCTCGCAGTCGCTCTCGCAGTCGCTCTCGCAGTCTCAGTCGCTCTCGCAGTTGCTCTCGCAGTCGCTCTCGCAGTCTCAGTCGCTCTCGCAGTCGCTCTCGCAGTCGCTCTCGCAGTCTCAGTCGCTCTCGCAGTCTCAGTCGCTCTCGCAGTCTCAGTCGCTCTCGCAGTCTCAGTCGCTCTCGCAGTCTCAGTCACTCTCTCACTCGCAGTCGCTCTCGCAGTCTCAGTCGCTCTCGCAGTCGCTCTCGCAGTCGCAGTCGCTCTCGCAGTCTTTGTCGCTCTCGCAGTTGCTCTCGCAGTCTCAGTCGCTCTCGCAGTCGCTCTCGCAGTCGCTCTCGCAGTCGCTCTAGCAGTCGCTCTCGCAGTCGCTCTCGCAGTCGCTCTCGCAGTCTCAGTCGCTCTCGCAGTCTCAGTCGCTCTCGCAGTCTCAGTCACTCTCTCACTCGCAGTCGCTCTCGCAGTCTCAGTCGCTCTCGCAGTCGCTCTCGCAGTCGCAGTCGCTCTCGCAGTCGCTCTCGCAGTCGCTCTCGCAGTCGCTCTCGCAGTCTCAGTCGCTCTCGCAGTCGCTCTCGCAGTTGCTCTCGCAGTTGCTCTCGCAGTCGCTCTCGCAGTCGCTCTCGCAGTCGCTCTCGCAGTCTCAGTCGCTCTCGCAGTCGCTCTCGCAGTCGCTCTCGCAGTCGCTCTCGCAGTCGCTCTCGCAGTCTCAGTCGCTCTCGCAGCCGCTCTCGCAGTCTCAGTCGCTCTCGCAGTCGCTCTCGCAGTCACAGTCGCTCTCTCAGTCTCTGTCGCTCTCTCACTCGCAGTCGCTCTCGCAGTCGCTCTAGCAGTCGCTCTCGCAGTCGCTCTCGCAGTCTCAGTCGCTCTCGCAGTCTCAGTCGCTCTCGCAGTCTCAGTCACTCTCTCACTCGCAGTCGCTCTCGCAGTCTCAGTCGCTCTCGCAGTCGCAGTCGCTCTCGCAGTCGCAGTCGCTCTCGCAGTCGCTCTCGCAGTCGCTCTCGCAGTCGCTCTAGCAGTCGCTCTCGCAGTCGCTCTCGCAGTCTCAGTCGCTCTCGCAGTCTCAGTCGCTCTCGCAGTCTCAGTCACTCTCTCACTCGCAGTCGCTCTCGCAGTCTCAGTCGCTCTCGCAGTCGCAGTCGCTCTCGCAGTCGCAGTCGCTCTCGCAGTCGCTCTCGCAGTCGCTCTCGCAGTCTCAGTCGCTCTCGCAGTCGCTCTCGCAGTTGCTCTCGCAGTTGCTCTCGCAGTCGCTCTCGCAGTCGCTCTCGCAGTCGCTCTCGCAGTCGCTCGCAGTCTCAGTCGCTCTCGCAGTCGCTCTCGCAGTCTCAGTCGCTCTCGCAGTCGCTCTCGCAGTCTCAGTCGCTCTCGCAGTCGCTCTCGCAGTCACAGTCGCTCTCTCAGTCTCAGTCGCTCTCTCACTCGCAGTCGCTCTCGCAGTCGCTCTCGCAGTCTCAGTCGCTGTCGCAGTCGCTCTCTCAGTCGCAGTCGCTCTCGCAGTCGCTCTCGCAGTCGCTCTCGCAGTCGCTCTCGCAGTCTTGCTCGCAGCTTCAGTATTGAGTTGTGTTGACAGTCCATCACACAGAGGTGCCATGTGAGCCACTGCGTCTCTCCTGCATCAATAATAATGACACATGTGAAAGATAAGACGCTGCAGAGATTAAAAACTGTCGCTGGTAATTAACGTAAAATCAATAAAAGAGAAATATTGATCATCATCAGTGGAAAAATACAGAAGAAGCATTTTCATATAGTCCTTAGTCTGTTTCCGGGTTCAAAGTTGCCTCTGTCTTTAAGGGCCTTGGCCATAGCTGCAGACCTCTTAAGCTAAGCAATGCAGGGTCTGGTTGGTGCTGTGATGGGAGACCTCTGTGAACACCAGGTGCCACAGTGGGGCGGCTGCGGCTGTAAAGTGCTCCCGTCTCCCACTGTCTCCCACCGGCTCCCTCTGTCTCCCACCGTCTCCCACCGGCTCCCTCTGTCTCCCACCGGCTCCCACCGGCTCCCACCGTCTCCCACCGTCTCCCACCGTCTCCCACCGTCTCCCACCGCCTCCCTCTGTCTCCCACTGTCTCCCACCGTCTCCCACCGTCTCCCACCGTCTCCCACCGTCTCCCACCGTCTCCCACCGGCTCCCACCGTCCCCCACCGGCTCCCTCTGTCTCCCACCGTCTCCCACCGTCTCCCTCTGTCTCCCACCGTCTCCCACCGTCTCCCTCTGTCTCCCACCGGCTCCCACCGTCCCCCACCGGCTCCCTCTGTCTCCCACCGTCTCCCACCGTCTCCCTCTGTCTCCCACCGTCTCCCACCGTCTCCCTCTGTCTCCCACCGGCTCCCTCTGTCTCCCACCGTCTCCCACCGTCTCCCACCGGCTCCCTCTGTCTCCCACCGTCTCCCACCGTCTCCCACCGTCTCCCTCTGTCTCCCACCGTCTCCCACCGTCTCCCTCTGTCTCCCACCGTCTCCCTCTGTCTCCCACCGGCTCCCTCTGTCTCCCTCTGTCTCCCTCTGTCTCCCACCGTCTCCCACCGGCTCCCTCTGTCTCCCACCGGCTCCCACCGTCTCCCTCTGTCTTCCACCGTCTCCCACCGTCTCCCTCTGTCTCCCACCGTCTCCCTCTGTCTCCCACCGGCTCCCTCTGTCTCCCTCTGTCTCCCACCGGCTCCCTCTGTCTCCCTCTGTCTCCCACCGTCTCCCACCGTCTCCCACCGTCTCCCACCGGCTCCCTCTGTCTCCCACCGGCTCCCACCGTCTCCCTCTGTCTCCCACCGTCTCCCACCGGCTCCCTCTGTCTCCCACCGGCTCCCACCGTCTCCCTCTGTCTTCCACCGTCTCCCACCGTCTTCCTCTGTCTCCCACCGGCTCCCACCGTCTCCCTCTGTCTCCCACCGTCTCCCTCTGTCTCCCACCGTCTCCCACCGTCTCCCTCTGTCTCCCACCGTCTCCCTCTGTCTCCCTCTGTCTCCCACCGGCTCCCTCTGTCTCCCACCGTCTCCCTCTGTCTCCCACCGTCTCCCTCTGTCTCCCACCGGCTCCCTCTGTCTCCCACCGGCTCCCACCGTCTCCCTCTGTCTTCCACCGTCTCCCACCATCTCCCTCTGTCTCCCACCGTCTCCCTCTGTCTCCCACCGGCTCCCACCGTCTCCCTCTGTCTTCCACCGTCTCCCACCGTCTCCCTCTGTCTCCCACCGGCTCCCACCGTCTCCCTCTGTCTTCCACCGTCTCCCACCGTCTCCCTCTGTCTCCCACCGTCTCCCACCATCTCCCACCGTCTCCCTCTGTCTCCCACCATCTCCCTCTGTCTCCCACCGTCTCCCTCTGTCTCCCACCGTCTCCCTCTGTCTCCCACCGCCTCCCTCTGTCTCCCACTGTCTCCCACCGTCTCCCACCGTCTCCCACCGTCTCCCACCGTCTCCCACCGTCTCCCACCGTCTCCCACCGGCTCCCACCGTCCCCCACCGGCTCCCTCTGTCTCCCACCGTCTCCCACCGTCTCCCTCTGTCTCCCACCGTCTCCCACCGTCTCCCTCTGTCTCCCACCGGCTCCCACCGTCCCCCACCGGCTCCCTCTGTCTCCCACCGTCTCCCACCGTCTCCCTCTGTCTCCCACCGTCTCCCACCGTCTCCCTCTGTCTCCCACCGGCTCCCTCTGTCTCCCACCGTCTCCCACCGTCTCCCACCGGCTCCCTCTGTCTCCCACCGTCTCCCACCGTCTCCCTCTGTCTCCCACCGTCTCCCACCGTCTCCCTCTGTCTCCCACCGTCTCCCTCTGTCTCCCACCGGCTCCCTCTGTCTCCCTCTGTCTCCCTCTGTCTCCCACCGTCTCCCACCGGCTCCCTCTGTCTCCCACCGGCTCCCATCGTCTCCCTCTGTCTTCCACCGTCTCCCACCGTCTCCCTCTGTCTCCCACCGCCTCCCTCTGTCTCCCACCGGCTCCCTCTGTCTCCCTCTGTCTCCCACCGGCTCCCTCTGTCTCCCTCTGTCTCCCACCGTCTCCCACCGTCTCCCTCTGTCTCCCACCGGCTCCCACCGTCTCCCTCTGTCTCCCACCGTCTCCCACCGGCTCCCTCTGTCTCCCACCGGCTCCCACCGTCTCCCTCTGTCTTCCACCGTCTCCCACCGTCTTCCTCTGTCTCCCACCGGCTCCCACCGTCTCCCTCTGTCTCCCACCGTCTCCCTCTGTCTCCCACCGTCTCCCACCGTCTCCCTCTGTCTCCCACCGTCTCCCTCTGTCTCCCTCTGTCTCCCACCGGCTCCCTCTGTCTCCCACCGTCTCCCTCTGTCTCCCACCGTCTCCCTCTGTCTCCCACCGTCTCCCTCTGTCTCCCACCGGCTCCCTCTGTCTCCCACCGGCTCCCACCGTCTCCCTCTGTCTTCCACCGTCTCCCACCATCTCCCTCTGTCTCCCACCGTCTCCCTCTGTCTCCCACCGGCTCCCACCGTCTCCCTCTGTCTCCCACCGGCTCCCTCTGTCTCCCACCGGCTCCCTCTGTCTCCCACCGGCTCCCACCGTCTCCCTCTGTCTTCCACCGTCTCCCACCGTCTCCCTCTGTCTCCCACCGTCTCCCACCATCTCCCACCGTCTCCCTCTGTCTCCCACCGTCTCCCTCTGTCTCCCACCGGCTCCCACCGTCTCCCTCTGTCTCCCACCGGCTCCCTCTGTCTCCCACCGGCTCCCTCTGTCTCCCACCGGCTCCCACCGTCTCCCTCTGTCTTCCACCGTCTCCCACCGTCTCCCTCTGTCTCCCACCGTCTCCCACCGTCTCCCTCTGTCTCCCACCGTCTCCCACCGGCTCCCTCTGTCTCCCACCGTCTCCCTCTGTCTCCCACCGGCTCCCTCTGTCTCCCACCGTCTCCCTCTGTCTCCCACCGGCTCCCTCTGTCTCCCACCGTCTCCCACGGGCTCCCTCTGTCTCCCACCGTCTCCCTCTGTCTCCCACCGGCTCCCTCTGTCTCCCACCGTCTCCCACCGTCTCGCTCGGTCTCCCACCGTCTCCCACCGTCTCCCTCTGTCTCCCACCGGCTCCCACCGTCTCCCTCTGTCTTCCACCGTCTCCCACCGTCTTCCTCTGTCTTCCTCTGTCTCCCACCGTCTCCCTCTGTCTCCCACCGTCTCCCTCTGTCTCCCACCGGCTCCCTCTGTCTCCCACCGTCTGCCTCTGTCTCTCTCTGTCTCCAAACTGTAATATATTGTTTTCTAAATGAGGAAAACTCATTGTCTAATTGAATTGCTCATGTCTTAGTTGTGCACAAAGCAGACAGACCATCTGTCCTATGTAGCAGCGTCCCACTGGGCTGCAGGAGACACCTGACAGAACTCCCACAATGCACTGCTGCTCTGACTATAATCAGTGCTCACTTTTGCTTGGATTTGGCTTCACACAGCATTGATTCTTTCACAAGTGTGGAAGTTTCCATCTGCTAAATGCAGTTTCAGATTCAGTTTATTTGTCATTTGCAGTAAAACCACATTGGAATACATGTGCAAAAACACATCAATAAAACCATGTAAATTACTGTTTTTGAACCAAATCAACAAATAGGTTTGAATTACCAAAGATAAATAGATCCCAGTGAGGTCCTCGTTTCTCACTCGTGTCACTCTCAAACTGAGCCAGAAACTAGTTTGATGGATTTTATTACATTTTTTAATTTGTTGTGGTTTGAAAGAAAGTTAAGATCCTTGAGATCCTGCGCTGGTCCCACAGGAAAGTTCAGTGTTGCATCAGCAGCTACAGAACAGTGGAGGAGCACACAGAGAAACAAACAATAACTTTATACTAACACCAAATCTCTAACTTTAGCATAAAAAGAAGCAAGTGTAAAGTCTGTATCTTTAGCATGTACTGTTTACACTCTGTACTGTGACTCTGTTTTTTACTGGTTGCATTAAAAAGTAAAGGATGTAGTGATTATTGAATCAGCAAATTCTCTTTAAAAGCCACATGGTCAGAAAAGGGTTTAGAGCGGTCGCTTTCAGAATGTTATCAGCGCTGATCCAGAGCTGCCAGACATAATCCAGACACATATATTTATTTATACTTCTGTATCTGGGCCAGTTTCTGAAAAATGGACTCATTTGCACGAATCAGCTCAGTGTGTGATTGTTTCATGACAATGACTCTGCTGACGGAGGCCGAGCCCTGGCTTTAATCAGAAGCTACACATTCAACAGTTACTGCTGCAAAGCTTTTACTCCACACATCCTGCCTTTAATTCACAAAAGCCAGATTTTATCAATAGAAAGAAGTCGTTGATAATGGTCCTCATAATGGTCCTCATAATGGTCCTCATAATGGTCCTCATAATGGTCCTCATAATGGTCCTCATCGTCATTTATGGTTCTGTCCAGAACATTTAAATCAGAAACATGTGTTTTAGGAGAGGCTTTGATTGGACAAAGCTGGAGCCATGTTCTTTGAGCTTTTGAGGCCTCTTCCTTTTGGTCTGTTATTTACCTCCAGTGAACATGAAGAGATCCTTTATGTGTCTCACTGGGGAATGTTCAGTGTTGCATCACAACTTACAACATATTAAGTGTCGCACAACTCTATACTTAAAAATATATATCTTTAACAATAGTTTTAAAACAATGGAATCATTGGTGCATCCCACTTTTCTAAATAGAAAATGACTTCCCACAGCTGAGGTCACTTCTGGCGGCAGTGGCTCAGTCTTAGAGCATTGGCCTTTGTGCCTGAAGGTTGTGGGTTCGAGTCCACCACAAGACTCTCTCCATCGACTCTGCTGTCGTTTTGTCCTTGGGCAAGACACTTCCCCCACATTAGAATGGGTCTGGTGTGTGTGTGTGAATGGTTGGTGGTGGTGGGAGGGGCCGATGGCACAGACTGGTTGCCTCGCTTCTGTCAGTGTGCCCCAGGGCAGCTGTGGCTACAGTAGTAGTTTATCACCACCGTGTTTGGAGAGAAAGAAGAATGATGTGAAGAGACTTTGAGCGTCCAAAATGCTCTGTATAAAACCAATGCAGAATTATAAAAATATACATTTACTGTTGAAGTTGCAGACATCACCTTTAACAGCCATATTTTTCTCAGAATTCTTTATATATTGTCCCCACCATGAAACATTCCGTGTGTGCCTCGCTTCTTTTCCATTTCTCTCTCCACATCCAGTCTAATTCAACACTGACATAAACTCCAGAAAACTCAATTACGTTCAGGCAAATACAAAACTCCAATTGTTCTACACCCGTTCTCACTCTGATATGAGCAGAAAACCTATTACCATGCAACTTTAGCTTCATTTAACGCCTTGGGCCTTTTCCTCAGCGATAAGTCTTCCATCCACGGACATCATCTCTTGCCTTTACTCTCATCCCACGCTTGAGTAAACCAGAAAACCTGGACTCGAGTGGGCACAGTTTGGGATGAACGCAGGAGGAAATGGCTCTCAGTGTGACGGCTGCGGCAGGCGGCCATCTTGGATCCACCCGCTGTACTCGGACCACATCCAATCTCCACACCTGTGCGGCCACTGCTCCGTCTTATGTCCAGATGATTTTGTATTTTTTCACCTCGGTGAAGGTGAGGGAGAGGAAATTGTGTTACTCAATATATGCAATATCAAAAGGTATTCAAGCAGGAAAGGTAATCCCAGTAATCCCAGCGTCAGCAGTGTGGACTGGGCCGCTGTCTGATACCAACGAGCTGGAGCCAATAACCTTCTGTTGGATTAGGACCCATACCCCAGCTCAGCCCAGTCCTATGATAAAATAGTGTAGAGTTATATAAATGTTGTTTTTTGATAGTGTCATGATTTTGTTTGTCAGGGTTTCTTGGTTTAGGCAACACTGGCTTTGGATACGATACATGATGTAATAATAATAATCTAGAATACAGGACTCAACAATCGCAGACTAACTGCTGAAGGGTAAATGAACACTTATGGTACCATCAAAAACCATATAATCTTAGTTTGATGCAGAACACAATCTCATATCTTTACACTAATGCAGGTTTGAAAAGGGGTCGGATGAAGCAGAAGCTTTGTTTGTTCCCAAACCCTCCTCACAATTCAACACAATAATACACAAAATACAATGCAATGAATCAACAAACAATATCAATATACCAGACGCTACCATGTGGTGTCAGACACATACCAGACGCTACCATGTGGTGTCAGACATATACCAGACGCTACCATGTGGTGTCAGACACATACCAGACGCTACCATGTGGTGTCAGACACATACCAGACGCTACCATGTGGTGTCAGACACATACCAGACGCTACCATGTGGTGTCAGACACATACCAGACGCTACCATGTGGTGTCAGACATATACCAGACGCTACCATGTGGTGTCAGACATATACCAGACGCTACCATGTGGTGTCAGACATATACCAGACGCTACCATGTGGTGTCAGACACATACCAGACGCTACCATGTGGTGTCAGACACATACCAGACGCTACCATGTGGTGTCAGACACATACCAGACGCTACCATGTGGTGTCAGACACATACCAGACGCTACCATGTGGTGTCAGACATATACCAGACGCTACCATGTGGTGTCAGACATATACCAGACGCTACCATGTGGTGTCAGACATATACCAGACGCTACCATGTGGTGTCAGACACATACCAGACGCTACCATGTGGTGTCAGACACATACCAGACGCTACCATGTGGTGTCAGACACATACCAGACGCTACCATGTGGTGTCAGACACATACCAGACGCTACCATGTGGTGTCAGACACATACCAGACGCTACCATGTGGTGTCAGACACATACCAGACGCTACCATGTGGTGTCAGACACATACCAGACGCTACCATGTGGTGTCAGACATATACCAGACGCTACCATGTGGTGTCAGATACATACCAGACGCTACCATGTGGTGTCAGACACATACCAGACGCTACCATATGGTCTCAGACACATACCAGACGCTACCATGTGGTCTCAGACACATACCAGACGCTACCATGTGGTGTCAGACACATACCAGACGCTACCATGTGGTGTCAGACACATACCAGACGCTACCATGTGGTGTCAGACACATACCAGACGCTACCATGTGGTGTCAGACACATACCAGACGCTACCATGTGGTGTCAGACACATACCAGACGCTACCATGTGGTGTCAGACACATACCAGACGCTACCATGTGGTGTCAGACACATACCAGACGCTACCATGTGGTGTCAGACACATACCAGACGCTACCATGTGGTGTCAGACACATACCAGACGCTACCATGTGGTGTCAGAACACATACCAGACGCTACCATGTGGTGTCAGACACATACCAGACGCTACCATGTGGTGTCAGACACATACCAGACGCTACCATGTGGTGTCAGATACATACCAGACGCTACCATGTGGTGTCAGACACATACCAGACGCTACCATGTGGTGTCAGACACATACCAGACGCTACCATGTGGTGTCAGACACATACCAGACGCTACCATGTGGTGTCAGACACATACCAGACGCTACCATGTGGTGTCAGACACATACCAGACGCTACCATGTGGTGTCAGACACATACCAGACGCTACCATGTGGTGTCAGACACATACCAGACGCTACCATGTGGTGTCAGACACATACCAGACGCTACCATGTGGTGTCAGACACATACCAGACGCTACCATGTGGTGTCAGAACATACCAGACGCTACCATGTGGTGTCAGATAACACATACCAGACGCTACCATGTGGTGTCAGACACATACCAGACGCTACCATGTGGTGTCAGACACATACCAGACGCTACCATGTGGTGTCAGATACATATCAGACGCTACCATGTGGTCTCAGACACATACCAGACGCTACCATGTGGTCTCAGACACATACCAGACGCTACCATGTGGTGTCAGATACATATCAGACGCTACCATGTGGTGTCAGACACATACCAGACGCTACCATGTGGTGTCAGACACATACCAGACGCTACCATGTGGTGTCAGACACATACCAGACGCTACCATGTGGTGTCAGACACATACCAGACGCTACCATGTGGTGTCAGACACATACCAGACGCTACCATGTGGTGTCAGACACATACCAGACGCTACCATGTGGTCTCAGACACAGACACATACCAGACGCTACCATGTGGTGTCAGATACATACCAGACGCTACCATGTGGTGTCAGACACATACCAGACGCTACCATGTGGTGTCAGACACATACCAGACGCTACCATGTGGTGTCAGACACATACCAGACGCTACCATGTGGTGTCAGACACATACCAGACGCTACCATGTAGTGTCAGACACATACCAGACGCTACCATGTGGTCTCAGACACATACCAGACGCTACCATGTGGTCTCAGACACATACCAGACGCTACCATGTAGTGTCAGACACATACCAGACGCTACCATGTGGTCTCAGACACATACCAGACGCTACCATGTGGTGTCAGATACATACCAGACGCTACCATGTGGTCTCAGACACATACCAGACGCTACCATGTGGTGTCAGACACATACCAGACGCTACCATGTGGTGTCAGACACATACCAGACGCTACCATGTGGTCTCAGACACATACCAGACGCTACCATGTGGTGTCAGACACATACCAGACGCTACCATGTGGTCTCAGACACATACCAGACGCTACCATGTGGTGTCAGACACATACCAGACGCTACCATGTAGTGTCAGACACATACCAGACGCTACCATGTGGTCTCAGACACATACCAGACGCTACCATGTGGTGTCAGACACATACCATGTGGTGTCAGACACATACCAGACGCTACCATGTGGTGTCAGACACATACCATGTGGTGTCAGATACATACCAGACGCTACCATGTGGTGTCAGACACATACCAGACGCTACCATGTGGTGTCAGACACATACCAGACGCTACCATGTGGTGTCAGACACATACCAGACGCTACCATGTGGTGTCAGACACATACCAGACGCTACCATGTGGTCTCAGACACATACCAGACGCTACCATGTAGTGTCAGACACATACCAGACGCTACCATGTGGTCTCAGACACATACCAGACGCTACCATGTGGTGTCAGATACATACCAGACGCTACCATGTGGTCTCAGACACATACCAGACGCTACCATGTGGTGTCAGACACATACCAGACGCTACCATGTGGTGTCAGACACATACCAGACGCTACCATGTGGTCTCAGACACATACCAGACGCTACCATGTGGTGTCAGACACATACCAGACGCTACCATGTGGTCTCAGACACATACCAGACGCTACCATGTGGTGTCAGACACATACCAGACGCTACCATGTAGTGTCAGACACATACCAGACGCTACCATGTGGTCTCAGACACATACCAGACGCTACCATGTGGTGTCAGACACATACCATGTGGTGTCAGACACATACCAGACGCTACCATGTTGTGTCAGACACATACCATGTGGTGTCAGATACATACCAGACGCTACCATGTGGTGTCAGACACATACCAGACGCTACCATGTGGTGTCAGACACATACCAGACGCTACCATGTGGTGTCAGACACAAACCAGACGCTACCATGTGGTGTCAGATACATACCATGTGGTGTCAGACACATACCAGACGCTACCATGTGGTGTCAGACACAAACCAGACGCTACCATGTGGTGTCAGACACAAACCAGACGCTACCATGTGATGTCAGACACAAACCAGACGCTACCATGTGGTGTCAGACACATACCATGTGGTGTCAGACACATACCATGTGGTGTCAGATACATACCAGACGCTACCATGTGGTGTCAGACACATACCAGACGCTACCATGTGGTGTCAGATACATACCAGACGCTACCATGTGGTGTCAGATACATACCAGACGCTACCATGTGGTGTCAGATACATACCAGACGCTACCATGTGGTGTCAGACACAAACCAGACGCTACCATGTGGTGTCAGACACAAACCAGACGCTACCATGTGGTGTCAGACACATACCATGTGGTGTCAGATACAAACCAGACGCTACCATGTGGTGTCAGACACATACCATGTGGTGTCAGATACATACCAGACGCTACCATGTGGTGTCAGACACATACCAGACGCTACCATGTGGTGTCAGACACATACCAGACGCTACCATGTGGTGTCAGACACATACCAGACGCTACCATGTGGTGTCAGATACATACCAGACGCTACCATGTGGTACCATTGGTGTTTATGGTAAAAATGGAGGCTGTGAAGTTTTACATTACGGTGGAATTGGTTTTGACGATCGAGTCATTTTTGTAAGAAATATTGAAACATAAAATGGCCGGTGGTTAAAAAAGTGTATAAAGTGTGTGGTGAGGGGTTTTCCTTAATCCATCCATTTGATCCATAGAAACTTTTACAGCACAATACAATACCACACTATAAAATACTACACTATAATAACATCACATCAAACATGCACTCAAATAATGAAACAGTTAATTAGCATAGAGTGTTAAAAGTGGAGCTGCTGCTTAAATAATTCAAGTTTTATTGTGGGTTATTATTCAAACTTGGGACTGTATGCACCATGTTTAAACAGACTAACACCAGTTTAGCAGACACTGTATGTTTGTCACCATCTAAGTCCCAGAGTGACAGTGTGAGATCTGATTGGCTGATGGGAGAGGGTCTGTGCACGTTCATGTCTGGTTAAGAGACCATGGTGTTAGTCTGGATGTCTTGTTTATTTGTTATTGACGTGGTGTCTCCTGGTATTAGCTGCTGATTGATGGTGCTGTCCCCTCAGGCATGTCCCGTGTACAGACCCAGGCCCCTCTGTGTCCCTGCATCACTCCAGGACATTAAAGGTCATCTCTGATTGGCCGAGACATATTCCATCTCAAGCTGTTGTTTGTCACTATGCACCGAGCGGGAAGTGAGCGGAGAGTCTGGCTTTTTAGATCTGTCAGGGTTTTGTATTATTCTAACTAGTTTTACTTCCTGTGTTGATACTGCCCTGTGTTTCACCTGTGTCTGTCTGTGTCTATATCTGTGTCTACATGTACCTGTGTCTGTCTGTGTCTATATCTGTGTCTACATGTACCTGTGTCTGTCTGTGTCTACATGTACCTGTGTCTGTCTGTGTCTACATGTACCTGTGTCTGTCTGTGTCTACATGTACCTGTGTCTGTCTGTGTCTATATCTGTGTCTACATGTACCTGTGTCTGTCTGTGTCTACATGTACCTGTGTCTGTCTGTGTCTACATGTACCTGTGTCTGTCTGTGTCTATCTGTGTCTATATCTGTGTCTACATGTACCTGTGTCTGTCTGTGTCTGTACCTGTGTCTACTGTGTCTATATCTGTGTCTACCTGTGTCTGTCTGTGTCTACATGTACCTGTGTCTGTCTGTGTCTACATGTACCTGTGTCTGTCTGTGTGTCTACATGTACCTGTGTCTGTCTGTGTCTACATGTACCTGTGTCTGTCTGTGTGTCTACATGTACCTGTGTCTGTCTGTGTCTACATGTACCTGTGTCTGTCTGTGTCTATATCTGTGTCTACATGTACCTGTGTCTGTCTGTGTCTACATGTACCTGTGTCTGTCTGTGTCTACATGTACCTGTGTCTGTCTGTGTCTATATCTGTGTCTACATGTACCTGTGTCTGTCTGTGTGTCTACATGTACCTGTGTCTGTCTGTGTGTCTATATGTACCTGTGTCTGTCTGTGTCTACATGTACCTGTGTCTGTCTGTGTCTATATCTGTGTCTACATGTACCTGTGTCTGTCTGTGTCTATATCTGTGTCTACATGTACCTGTGTCTGTCTGTGTCTACATGTACCTGTGTCTGTCTGTGTCTACATGTACCTGTGTCTGTCTGTGTCTACATGTACCTGTGTCTGTCTGTGTCTATATCTGTGTCTACATGTACCTGTGTCTGTCTGTGTCTACATGTACCTGTGTCTGTCTGTGTCTACATGTACCTGTGTCTGTCTGTGTCTACATGTACCTGTGTCTGTCTGTGTCTATATCTGTGTCTACATGTACCTGTGTCTGTCTGTGTGTCTACATGTACCTGTGTCTGTCTGTGTCTACATGTACCTGTGTCTGTCTGTGTCTACATGTACCTGTGTCTGTCTGTGTCTATATCTGTGTCTACATGTACCTGTGTCTGTCTGTGTCTACATGTACCTGTGTCTGTCTGTGTCTACATGTACCTGTGTCTGTCTGTGTCTATATCTGTGTCTACATGTACCTGTGTCTGTCTGTGTGTCTACATGTACCTGTGTCTGTCTGTGTGTCTATATGTACCTGTGTCTGTCTGTGTCTACATGTACCTGTGTCTGTCTGTGTCTACATGTACCTGTGTCTGTCTGTGTCTGTCTGTGTTTATATGTACCTGTGTCTGTCTGTGTTTATATCTGTCTACATGTACCTGTGTCTGTCTGTGTTTATATCTGTGTCTACATGTACCTGTGTCTGTCTGTGTGGACAGTAGCCTCACTGCATGGACCATCTACTACCTCACTGCATGGACCATCAACTACCTCACTGCATGGACCATCAACTACCTCTCAGAGCGACCACAGTACGTGCGGCTGCAGCTGTGAGTCTGAGGTGGTCGTCTGCAGCACTGGGGCCCCTCAGGGCACTGTCCTCTCACCGTTTCTCTTCACCATCTACACCTCAGACTTCACACACGACACACACAGCTGTCACCTGCAGAAGTTCTCCGACGACTCCGCCATCGTGGGCTGTGTGTCTGAGGGGAACCAACTGGAATATCGGTCGGTTATCAAGGACTTTGTCGACTGGTGTGAGCGCAACCACTTGTGCTTGAACACCAGTAAGACCAAGGAGATGATCATCGACTTCAGGAGAAAACCACTTTCCCACACGCTGCTGAACATCCAGGGGGAGGACATTGAGCTGGTGGACAGCTTCAAGTACCTGGGTGTTCACATTAACAATAAACTGGACTGGTCCATAATACAAACGCCCTGCACAAGAAGGGCCAAAGTCGCCTCTTTCTTCTGAGGAGGCTGAGGTCCTTCTGAGGAGAATGAGGTCCTTCTGAGGAGGCTGAGGTCCTTCTGAGGAGGCTGAGGTCCTTCTGAGGAGGCTGAGGTCCTTCTGAGGAGGCTGAGGTCCTTCTGAGGAGGCTGAGGTCCTTCTGAGGAGACTGAGGTCCTTCTGAGGAGACTGAGGTCCTTCTGAGGAGACTGAGGTCCTTCTGAGGAGGCTGAGGTCCTTCTGAGGAGGCTGAGGTCCTTCTGAGGAGGCTGAGGTCCTTCGGAGTGAGCAGGCCTCTGCTCAGGACTTTTTATGACTCTGTGGTAGCTTCTGCCATTTACTACGCTGCCGTGTGCTGGGCCCCGGGCAGCACAGAGCGGGACAGAAACAGACTGAACAAGCTGGTCAGGAGGAGGTGAGGGACAGGAGGCCCCTGGACTCTGTGGAGGAGGTGAGGGACAGGAGGCCCCTGGACTCTGTGGAGGAGGTGAGGGACAGGAGGCCCCTGGACTCTGTGGAGGAGGTGAGGGACAGGAGGCCCCTGGACTCTGTGGAGGAGGTGAGGGACAGGAGGCCCCTGGACTCTGTGGAGGAGGTGAGGGACAGGAGGCCCCTGGACTCTGTGGAGGAGGTGAGGGACAGGAGGCCCCTGGACTCTGTGGAGGAGGTGAGGGACAGGAGGCCCCTGGACTCTGTGGAGGAGGTGAGGGACAGGAGGCCCCTGGACTCTGTGGAGGAGGTGAGGGACAGGAGGCCCCTGGACTCTGTGGAGGAGGTGAGGGACAGGAGGCCCCTGGACTCTGTGGAGGAGGTGAGGGACAGGAGGCCCCTGGACTCTGTGGAGGAGGTGAGGGACAGGAGGCCCCTGGACTCTGTGGAGGAGGTGAGGGACAGGAGGCCCCTGGACTTTGTGGAGGAGGTGAGGGACAGGAGGCCCCTGGACTCTGTGGAGGAGGTGAGGGACAGGAGGCCCCTGGACTCTGTGGAGGAGGTGAGGGACAGGAGGTGCTAGCCAAAGCCACCTCCATCATGAACAACACCTCCCACTGCACAGGACTGAGGAGGAGCTGAGGAGCTCCTTCAGTGGAAGACTGAGACACCCTCAGTGTAGGAAGGAGCGCTACCGCAGGGCCTTTATCCCCACCGCTGTCAGACTGTACAACAAGTCACTTTAAATGATCACTGTGTGAAAACCTGCACTACTATTGACACTGTTTCCAATTGACACTTGCCAAACGTGACATGTACATTTCTCCTCTGTGAGATAAATAAAGCACATCTTATCTTATCTTATCCTGTGTTTGTGTGTGTGTCTATCTGTACCTGTGTCTGTGTCTTTTTAGTGGTTAAATATACTTTTTTGTTTCTGTAGTAATAATTACCTTTGACCATGGGACCTCTCTCCAGATTTTGGTGCACCAACATCTCTATCTCCTCTCTCTCTCTCTTCTCCTCTCTCTCCTCTCTCTCCTCTCCCTTTTTTTCTCTCTCTCCCCTCTCTCTCCTTTCTCCTCTCTCTCTCCTCTCTCTCTCCTCTCTCTCTCCTCTCTCCTCACTCTCCTCTCTCTCCTCTCTCTCTCCTTTCTCCCCTCCCCCCTCTCTCCCCTCCCCCCTCTCCCTCCCTCTCTGACGGTGCAGAGTGTCTGTGTGATGGATGTTCTGGGTTCTCGTCCCAGGCCTCTCTCTGTCAGAGCCACACGCTGCATATTTCAGGAAATAATTGAAAATGCTTCTTTGAGCTCATGAAGCACATGGCACTTTGTCACAGGCGCCGCACCGGGGGAAAAGTGTAATGCTTAAGGAAATACGTACTGTGGTATAGTCTGTAGTAACGTCTGTAGTATAGTATAGTCTGTGGTATAGTCTGTAGTATAGTATAGTAGTATAGTCTGAAGTATAGTCTGTAGTTTAGTACTATAGTCTGTAAAATAGTAGTACAGTCTGTAGTATAGTAGTACAGTATGTAGTATAGTCTGTAGTATAGTAGTATAGGCTGTAGTATAGTCTGTAGTATAGAACTACAGTCTGTAACATAGTACTATAGTCTGTACTATAGTCTGTAGTATAGTAGTATAGTCCCTAGTATAGTAGTACAGTCTGTAGTATAGTAGTATAGTCTGTAGTATAGTAGTACAGTCTGTAGTATAGTAGTATAGTCTGTAGTATAGTAGTACAGTCTGTAGTATAGTAGTATAGTAGTATAGTCTGTAGTATAGTAGTACAGTCTGTAGTATAGTCTGTAGTATAGTAGTACAGTCTGTAGTATAGTAGTATAGTCTGTAGTATAGTAGTATAGTCTGTAGTATAGTAGTACAGTCTGTAGTATAGTCTGTAGTATAGTAGTATAGTCTGTAGTATAGTCTGTAGTATAGTAGTATAGTCTGTAGTATAGTACTATAGTCTGTAGTATAGTACTATAGTCTGTAGTATAGTCTGTAGTATTTTCTGTAGTATTGTCTGTAGTATAGTACTATAATACTAGAGTCTGTAGTATAGTAGTATAGTCTGTAGTATTGTAGTATAGTCTGTAGTATAGTACTATAGTCTGTAGTATAGTAGTATAGTCTGTAGTCTGTAGTATAGTCAGTAGTATAGTAGTATAGTCTGTAGTATAGTAGTATAGTCTGTAGTATAGTAGTACAGTCTGTAGTATAGTCTGTAGTATAGAAGTATAGTCTGTACTATAGTCTGTAGTATAGTCTGTAATATAGTAGTATAGTCTGTAGTATAGTTTGTAGTATAGTAGTATAGTCTGTAGTATTGTACTATAGTCTGTAGTATAGTAGTATAGTCTGTAGTATAGTCTGTAGAATAGTAATATAGTCTGTAGTATGGTCTGTAGTATAGTAGTATAGTCTGTAGTATTGTAGTGGGTCTGTAGTATAGTCTGTAGTATAGTAGTATAGTCTGTAGTATAGTAGTATAGTCTGTAGTATAGTCTGTAGTATAGTAGTGGGTCTGTAGTATAGTCTGTAGTATAGTAGTATGGTCTGTAGTATAGTAGTATAGTCCGTAGTATAGTCTGTAGTATAGTAGTGGGTCTGACGCCTTATCTTTATCAATCTCACGCTGCAGAAAAACTCTTTATTTTCATTATTTTAGATCATTCAAAAGAACCTGAAATAAACATTTATAAACATGGTGTTTTTCAGATTAAGATTCATGCATGATTGAGTAATAAGTATTACTTAAGGGCCTGGTTAGTACTGTGATGGGAGACCTCTTTAGCTAAGCAGGGCAGGGCCTGGTTAGTGCTGTGATGGGAGACCTCTGAAGCTAAGCAGGACAGGGCCTCGTTAGTGCTGTGATGGGAGACCTCTGAAGCTAAGCAGGGCAGGGCCTGGTTAGTGTGGTGATGGGAGACCTCTGAACAGCAGGTGCCACAGTGGGGCGGCTGCGGCTGTACAGTGCCCAACTGTGGTTGTGTCCTTAGGCAAGACACTTCCCCCACATTAGAATGAGTCTGGTGTGTGTGTGAATGGTTGGTGGTGGTGGGAGGGGCTGATGGCACAGACTAGTTGTCTCGCTTCTGTCAGTGTGCCCCAGGGCAGCTGTGGCTACAGTAGTTAATCACCACTGTGTTTGGAGAGAAAGAATAATGACTGTGATTATCCACAAAAGCGGTAAACAAAAACGTTTTGTGGAAACAAAATGCATTATTATTACCTTGCCTCTTTCATCTGGGTGGCACAGTGGCTGAGTGGTTAACACTCTCGCTTCTGCGCAAGAAGGTCCTGGGAGTTTGCATGTTCTCCCCGTGTGTGCGTAGGTTTGCTCTGGGTGCTCCGGTGTCCCCTATACCACGTAAAACATGCACAGTAGTCTGACTGTAAATGAGAGAGTGAATGGATGGTGTTTGGTCGGAGGCTTTGATTGTTCGGTGTCTCGCTTCCGAACAATGTGAAGAGAATGGAAAATATCTGACCGTTGTGAAGTGCTTTGGGTGACCTTGGTCTGTAAAATGTGCTACATAAATTACTTACTCATCTCTTACAGTATTACCAACAGCATTTTTACAGTGATCCACAGAAGTCAACACAAATTCTAATCATTTTGCACTGGACAAAGTCATGTTTCCATTACTTAGTTGTGGCCACTTCTAGACAACCTAAAACTAATTATAACGTGATCCTTTTGTATCTGTTTTTTCCATTCGGACACAAGAAACCTTGCTTCTTAGGACTGGGCCTGTCTCTTCATACTTATCAATATTAGTAAGTATAACAGATGAATACAGAGGCTGGAGCTGTATGTATTCATTGTGGCGTTAAAAGCCCAGAGGAGCGGCGGCCATTGTGAGAGGCCGTGTAAAGACATCCTGACGGCGCTCTCCATCTGTCTCCATTCATCTGCTCTGACTCATGTTAGCGCTCAATTATACACACACAGTTTGTCTTCATCCCGTCTGCTCCTAAAGAGGAGGGAGGACAGGTCCGCGATGCCGGGGATTCACCGCAGCAATGGAATTTACTATTGTGTTTCCATTTGTGCTCCTGTGGACTCAGCACCTGCAGGAGGATCAGTGAGGGGCTGGTGCTCTGTGACTGGGTGCAGCTCTGGCCACCCCCCCGACCCAGAAATGGATTAAGGGGAAGAAGATGGATGGATGGATGGATGGATGGTTTCCATTTGTGTGTTCTTCCGCACGATAAGTCATTATTTCACTAAGTGTTGGACTGTTAAGATCTATAGATAGATACTTTCTAGATCGCGGTAGGAGAAACTCAGTCCAGCTGCAGAAACACGTCCAAACCCTAACCACAGAAATATACATCTTTCTGATTCTTTCTGAAGTTGCTCACAATAGTTCTAAAGTGCAGCAGTATTTGAGGTCACAGCAGCTCTTGGTCTGGATGAGTTGGTTCCTTTCCTCTGGTTTTCAGTTCGGACCATTTTCTCTGCTCTGGTCTGGACCAGTGTAAAACCTGAAGTCTCTCACTGGGTTTTACATTGATAATGCTCAGACCTGATTTGACAGTGGAAGCTGTGCACTTTTAATCCGTCTCTTCTGAGTGAAGTGTTGCGGTCAATCACTCTGTTTTTCAAATCCACAGAAAGTCCACAGCAGAGACCAGCGACAAACTGAAGATGAGACAGTGTTAATGAGGCTCCAAAGATCCAGTCAAAGATTCAATGGAAAGACTTCAGCTGCTCCTGTGTCACTGGTTTAAAACATGTAGCCTGAAGTGTAGACTGTAGTGTAGCCTGTAGTGTAGCCTGTAGTGTAGCCTGTAGTGTAGCCTGTAGTGTAGCCTGTAGTGTAGCCTGTAGTGTAGCCTGTAGTGTAGCCTGTAGTGTAGCCTGTAGTGTAGCCTGAAGTGTAACCTGAAGTGTAGCCTGTAGTGTAGCCTGTAGTGTAGCCTGTAGTGTAGCCTGTAGTGTAGTCTGTAGTGTAGCCTGTAGTGTAGCCTGTAGTGTAGCCTGTAGTGTAGCCTGTAGTGTAGCCTGTAGTGTAGCCTGTAGTGTAGCCTGTAGTGTAGCCTGTAGTGTAGCCTGTAGTGTAGCCTGTAGTGTAGTCCGAAGTGTAGCCTGTAGTGTAGCCCGTAGTGTAGCCCGTAGTGTAGCCTGTAGTGTAGCCTGTAGTGTAGCCTGTAGTGTAGCCTGAAGTGTAGCCTGTAGTGTAGCCTGAAGTGTAGCCTGTAGTGTAGCCTGTAGTGTAGCCTGTAGTGTAGCCTGTAGTGTAGCCTGTAGTGTAGCCTGTAGTGTAGTCCGAAGTGTAGCCTGTAGTGTAGCCTGTAGTGTAGCCTGTAGTGTAGCCTGTAGTGTAGCCTGTAGTGTAGCCTGTAGTGTAGCCTGTAGTGTAGCCTGTAGTGTAGCCTGTAGTGTAGCCTGTAGTGTAGCCTGTAGTGTAGCCTGTAGTGTAGCCTGTAGTGTAGCCTGAAGTGTAGCCTGAAGTGTAGCCTGTAGTGTAGCCTGTAGTGTAGCCTGAAGTGTAGCCTGTAGTGTAGCCTGTAGTGTAGCCTGTAGTGTAGCCTGTAGTGTAGCCTGTAGTGTAGCCTGTAGTGTAGCCTGTAGTGTAGCCTGTAGTGTAGCCTGTAGTGTAGCCTGTAGTGTAGCCTGTAGTGTAGCCTGTAGTGTAGCCTGTAGTGTAGCCTGTAGTGTAGCCTGTAGTGTAGCCTGTAGTGTAGCCTGTAGTGTAGCCTGTAGTGTAGCCTGTAGTGTAGCCTGTAGTGTAGCCGTAGTAGCCTGTAGTGTAGCCTGTAGTGTAGCCTGTAGTGTAGCCTGTAGTGTAGCCTGTAGTGTAGCCTGTAGTGTAGCCTGTAGTGTAGCCTGTAGTGTAGCCTGTAGTGTAGCCTGTAGTGTAGCCTGTAGTGTAGCCTGAAGTGTAGCCTGTAGTGTAGCCTGTAGTGTAGCCTGTAGTGTAGCCTGTAGTGTAGCCTGTAGTGTAGCCTGTAGTGTAGCCTGTAGTGTAGCCTGTAGTGTAGCCTGTAGTGTAGCCTGTAGTGTAGCCTGTAGTGTAGCCTGTAGTGTAGCCTGTAGTGTAGCCTGTAGTGTAGCCTGTAGTGTAGCCTGTAGTGTAGCCTGTAGTGTAGCCTGTAGTGTAGCCTGTAGTGTAGCCTGTAGTGTAGCCTGTAGTGTAGCCTGTAGTGTAGCCTGTAGTGTAGCCTGTAGTGTAGCCTGTAGTGTAGCCTGTAGTGTAGCCTGTAGTGTAGCCTGTAGTGTAGCCTGTAGTGTAGCCTGTAGTGTAGCCTGTAGTGTAGCCTGTAGTGTAGCCTGTAGTGTAGCCTGTAGTGTAGCCTGTAGTGTAGCCTGTAGTGTAGCCTGTAGTGTAGCCTGTAGTGTAGCCTGTAGTGTAGCCTGTAGTGTAGCCTGTAGTGTAGCCTGTAGTGTAGCCTGTAGTGTAGCCTGTAGTGTAGCCTGTAGTGTAGCCTGTAGTGTAGCCTGTAGTGTAGCCTGTAGTGTAGCCTGTAGTGTAGCCTGTAGTGTAGCCTGTAGTGTAGCCTGTAGTGTAGCCTGAAGTGTAGCCTGTAGTGTAGCCTGTAGTGTAGCCTGTAGTGTAGCGAGTTAGCCTGTAGTGTAGCCTGTAGTGTAGCCTGTAGTGTAGCCTGTAGTGTAGCCTGTAGTGTAGCCTGTAGTGTAGCCTGTAGTGTAGCCTGTAGTGTAGCCTGTAGTGTAGCCTGTAGTGTAGCCTGAAGTGTAGCCTGTAGTGTAGCCTGTAGTGTAGCCTGTAGTGTAGCCTGTAGTGTAGCCTGTAGTGTAGCCTGTAGTGTAGCCTGTAGTGTAGCCTGTAGTGTAGCCTGTAGTGTAGCCTGTAGTGTAGCCTGTAGTGTAGCCTGTAGTGTAGCCTGAAGTGTAGCCTGTAGTGTAGCCTGTAGTGTAGCCTGTAGTGTAGCCTGTAGTGTAGCCTGTAGTGTAGCCTGTAGTGTAGCCTGTAGTGTAGCCTGTAGTGTAGCCTGTAGTGTAGCCTGTAGTGTAGCCTGAAGTGTAGCCTGTAGTGTAGCCTGTAGTGTAGCCTGTAGTGTAGCCTGAAGTGTAGCCTGTAGTGTAGCCTGTAGTGTAGCCTGTAGTGTAGCCTGTAGTGTAGCCTGTAGTGTAGCCTGTAGTGTAGCCTGAAGTGTAGCCTGTAGTGTAGCCTGTAGTGTAGCCTGTAGTGTAGCCTGAAGTGTAGCCTGTAGTGTAGCCTGTAGTGTAGCCTGTAGTGTAGCCTGTAGTGTAGCCTGTAGTGTAGCCTGTAGTGTAGCCTGTAGTGTAGCCTGTAGTGTAGCCTGTAGTGTAGCCTGTAGTGTAGCCTGTAGTGTAGCCTGTAGTGTAGCCTGTAGTGTAGCCTGTAGTGTAGCCTGTAGTGTAGCCTGTAGTGTAGCCTGTAGTGTAGCCTGTAGTGTGTAGCCTGTAGTGTAGCCTGTAGTGTAGCCTGTAGTGTAGCCTGTAGTGTAGCCTGTAGTGTAGCCTGTAGTGTAGCCTGAAGTGTAGCCTGTAGTGTAGCCTGTAGTGTAGCCTGTAGTGTAGCCTGTAGTGTAGCCTGTAGTGTAGCCTGTAGTGTAGCCTGTAGTGTAGCCTGTAGTGTAGCCTGTAGTGTAGCCTGTAGTGTAGCCTGTAGTGTAGCCTGTAGTGTAGCCTGTAGTGTAGCCTGTAGTGTAGCCTGTAGTGTAGCCTGTAGGTGTAGCCTGTAGTGTAGCCTGTAGTGTAGCCCGAAGTGTAGCCTGTAGTGTAGCCTGTAGTGTAGCCCGTAGTGTAGCCTGTAGTGTAGCCTGTAGTGTAGCCTGTAGTGTAGCCTGTAGTGTAGCCTGTAGTGTAGCCTGTAGTGTAGCCTGTAGTGTAGCCTGTAGTGTAGCCTGTAGTGTAGCCTGTAGTGTAGCCTGTAGTGTAGCCTGTAGTGTAGCCTGTAGTGTAGCCTGTAGTGTAGCCTGTAGTGTAGCCTGTAGTGTAGCCTGTAGTGTAGCCTGTAGTGTAGCCTGTAGTGTAGCCTGTAGTGTAGCCTGTAGTGTAGCCTGTAGTGTAGCCTGTAGTGTAGCCTGTAGTGTAGCCTGTAGTGTAGCCTGTAGTGTAGCCTGTAGTGTAGCCTGTAGTGTAGCCTGTAGTGTAGCCTGTAGTGTAGCCTGTAGTGTAGCCTGTAGTGTAGCCTGTAGTGTAGCCTGTAGTGTAGCCTGTAGTGTAGCCTGTAGTGTAGCCTGTAGTGTAGCCTGTAGTGTAGCCTGTAGTGTAGCCTGTAGTGTAGCCTGTAGTGTAGCCTGTAGTGTAGCCTGTAGTGTAGCCTGTAGTGTAGCCTGTAGTGTAGCCTGTAGTGTAGCCTGTAGTGTAGCCTGTAGTGTAGCCTGTAGTGTAGCCTGTAGTGTAGCCTGTAGTGTAGCCTGTAGTGTAGCCTGTAGTGTAGCCTGTAGTGTAGCCTGTAGTGTAGCCTGTAGTGTAGCCTGTAGTGTAGCCTGTAGTGTAGCCTGTAGTGTAGCCTGTAGTGTAGCCTGTAGTGTAGCCTGTAGTGTAGCCTGTAGTGTACCTGTAGTGTAGCCTGTAGTGTAGCCTGTAGTGTAGCCTGTAGTGTAGCCTGTAGTGTAGCCTGTAGTGTAGCCTGTAGTGTAGCCTGTAGTGTAGCCTGTAGTGTAGCCTGTAGTGTAGCCTGTAGTGTAGCCTGTAGTGTAGCCTGTAGTGTAGCCTGTAGTGTAGCCTGTAGTGTAGCCTGTAGTGTAGCCTGTAGTGTAGCCTGTAGTGTAGCCTGTAGTGTAGCCTGTAGTGTAGCCTGTAGTGTAGCCTGTAGTGTAGCCTGTAGTGTAGCCTGTAGTGTAGCCTGTAGTGTAGCCTGTAGTGTAGCCTGTAGTGTAGCCTGTAGTGTAGCCTGTAGTGTAGCCTGTAGTGTAGCCTGTAGTGTAGCCTGTAGTGTAGCCTGTAGTGTAGCCTGTAGTGTAGCCTGTAGTGTAGCCTGTAGTGTAGCCTGTAGTGTAGCCTGTAGTGTAGCCTGTAGTGTAGCCTGTAGTGTAGCCTGTAGTGTAGCCTGTAGTGTAGCCTGTAGTGTAGCCTGTAGTGTAGCCTGTAGTGTAGCCTGTAGTGTAGCCTGTAGTGTAGCCTGTAGTGTAGCCTGAAGTGTAGCCTGTAGTGTAGCCTGTAGTGTAGCCTGTAGTGTAGCCTGTAGTGTAGCCTGTAGTGTAGCCTGTAGTGTAGCCTGTAGTGTAGCCTGTAGTGTAGCCTGTAGTGTAGCCTGTAGTGTAGCCTGTAGTGTAGCCTGTAGTGTAGCCTGTAGTGTAGCCTGTAGTGTAGCCTGTAGTGTAGCCTGTAGTGTAGCCTGTAGTGTAGCCTGTAGTGTAGCCTGTAGTGTAGCCTGTAGTGTAGCCTGTAGTGTAGCCTGTAGTGTAGCCTGTAGTGTAGCCTGTAGTGTAGCCTGTAGTGTAGCCTGTAGTGTAGCCTGTAGTGTAGCCTGTAGTGTAGCCTGTAGTGTAGCCTGTAGTGTAGCCTGTAGTGTAGCCTGAAGTGTAGCCTGTAGTGTAGCCTGTAGTGTAGCCTGTAGTGTAGCCTGTAGTGTAGCCTGTAGTGTAGCCTGTAGTGTAGCCTGTAGTGTAGCCTGTAGTGTAGCCTGTAGTGTAGCCTGTAGTGTAGCCTGTAGTGTAGCCTGTAGTGTAGCCTGTAGTGTAGCCTGTAGTGTAGCCTGTAGTGTAGCCTGTAGTGTAGCCTGTAGTGTAGCCTGTAGTGTAGCCTGTAGTGTAGCCTGTAGTGTAGCCTGTAGTGTAGCCTGTAGTGTAGCCTGTAGTGTAGCCTGTAGTGTAGCCTGTAGTGTAGCCTGTAGTGTAGCCTGTAGTGTAGCCTGTAGTGTAGCCTGTAGTGTAGCCTGTAGTGTAGCCTGAGTGTAGCCTGTAGTGTAGCCTGTAGTGTAGCCTGTAGTGTAGCCTGTAGTGTAGCCTGTAGTGTAGCCTGTAGTGTAGCCTGTAGTGTAGCCTGTAGTGTAGCCTGTAGTGTAGCCTGTAGTGTAGCCTGTAGTGTAGCCTGTAGTGTAGCCTGTAGTGTAGCCTGTAGTGTAGCCTGTAGTGTAGCCTGTAGTGTAGCCTGTAGTGTAGCCTGTAGTGTAGCCTGTAGTGTAGCCTGTAGTGTAGCCTGTAGTGTAGCCTGTAGTGTAGCCTGTAGTGTAGCCTGTAGTGTAGCCTGTAGTGTAGCCTGTAGTGTAGCCTGTAGTGTAGCCTGTAGTGTAGCCTGTAGTGTAGCCTGTAGTGTAGCCTGTAGTGTAGCCTGTAGTGTAGCCTGTAGTGTAGCCTGTAGTGTAGCCTGTAGTGTAGCCTGTAGTGTAGCCTGTAGTGTAGCCTGTAGTGTAGCCTGTAGTGTAGCCTGTAGTGTAGCCTGTAGTGTAGCCTGTAGTGTAGCCTGTAGTGTAGCCTGTAGTGTAGCCTGTAGTGTAGCCTGTAGTGTAGCCTGTAGTGTAGCCTGTAGTGTAGCCTGTAGTGTAGCCTGTAGTGTAGCCTGTAGTGTAGCCTGTAGTGTAGCCTGTAGTGTAGCCTGTAGTGTAGCCTGTAGTGTAGCCTGTAGTGTAGCCTGTAGTGTAGCCTGTAGTGTAGCCTGTAGTGTAGCCTGTAGTGTAGCCTGTAGTGTAGCCTGTAGTGTAGCCTGTAGTGTAGCCTGTAGTGTAGCCTGTAGTGTAGCCTGTAGTGTAGCCTGTAGTGTAGCCTGTAGTGTAGCCTGTAGTGTAGCCTGTAGTGTAGCCTGTAGTGTAGCCTGTAGTGTAGCCTGTAGTGTAGCCTGTAGTGTAGCCTGTAGTGTAGCCTGTAGTGTAGCCTGTAGTGTAGCCTGTAGTGTAGCCTGTAGTGTAGCCTGTAGTGTAGCCTGTAGTGTAGCCTGTAGTGTAGCCTGTAGTGTAGCCTGTAGTGTAGCCTGTAGTGTAGCCCTGTAGTGTAGCCTGTAGTGTAGTGTAGTGTAGCCTGTAGTGTAGCCTGTAGTGTAGCCTGTAGTGTAGCCTGTAGTGTAGCCTGTAGTGTAGCCTGTAGTGTAGCCTGTAGTGTAGCCTGTAGTGTAGCCTGTAGTGTAGCCTGTAGTGTAGCCCGTAGTGTAGCCTGTAGTGTAGCCTGTAGTGTAGCCTGTAGTGACCTGTAGTGTAGCCTGTAGTGTAGCCTGTAGTGTAGCCCGTAGTGTAGCCTGTAGTGTAGCCTGTAGTGTAGCCTGTAGTGTAGCCTGTAGTGTAGCCTGTAGTGTAGCCTGTAGTGTAGCCTGTAGTGTAGCCTGTAGTGTAGTAGTGTAGCCTGTAGTGTAGCCTGTAGTGTAGCCTGTAGTGTAGCCTGTAGTGTAGCCCGTAGTGTAGCCTGTAGTGTAGCCTGTAGTGTAGCCTGTAGTGTAGCCTGTAGTGTAGCCTGTAGTGTAGCCTGTAGTGTAGCCTGTAGTGTAGCCTGTAGTGTAGCCTGTAGTGTAGCCTGTAGTGTAGCCTGTAGTGTAGCCTGTAGTGTAGCCTGTAGTGTAGCCTGTAGTGTAGTGCAGATTTTTCAGAAAGCAAAGTGAGTAAAGAGAGGACCATCCCCACTCAGCCAATCAGCTCTCAGCTCTGAGTCAGACAAAAATAACATGGAATATTAATGAACAAAGTTAGGTAACTAAGCTTTTCTGATGCAGGAGGGTCTTAATGAGGACGTGATGATCGGGGAATTTTATTCACATTTATTCACATTTATTAACATTAACAAAAGAAAGTGAATTTATATTTTCTTCTAATGCTAAATTCACCGCAGATTTTTAGCGTTTTACATTTGATAAAATAAATATCAGCGCATCACTTACTGTGAAACTGCAGCTTTACTTTGATCATAGAATCTAATGATTACTTTGTTCTTTCACTTTGTTGTGTTTTTCCTTCCATCACAGCCTCATAATTACCAATCAGACCATGAGTGACCATGTGTGCCGACCATGTGTGCCGACATTAGCCTCCTGCTGGTTCATAACAAACACATGTGGTTTCTCTTCTCTTTGTGTTGATGAAACAGAGAGAGCTGATGTGAGAGAACACCTCTGGTCTGCTCCCATTAAACACCACACAGACACCACACAGACACCACACAGACACCACACAGACACCACACAGACACCACACAGACACAACACAGACACCACACAGACACCACACAGAAACACCACACAGACACCACACAGCCACCACACAGACACACACAGACACCACACAGACCACCACACAGACCACCAACAAGACACCACACAGACACCACACAGACACCACACAGACACCACACAGACACCACACAGACACCACACAGACACCACACAGACACCACACAGACACCACACAGACACCACACAGACACCACACAGACACCACACAGACACCACACAGACACCACTACAAACACCACACAGACTCCACACAGACAACCACACAACACCACTCAGAGCACACACAGAAACCACACAGACACCACAACAGACACCACACAGACCACCACACAACACCACACAGTACCACAGCCTTCTATTACCGGCACTTCTCCCCACACTCTCTCTCTCTCTCTCTCCTCCTCTCTCCTCTCTCCTCTCTCGTCTCCTCTCTCTCTTCACTCTCTCTCCTCTCTCCTCTCTCTCTCGCTCTCTCTCTACTCTCCTCTCTCTCTCTCCCCTCTCTCCTCTTCCTCCTCTCTCTCGTCTCTCTCTCTCCTCTCCCCTCTCTCTCGCTCCCTCCTCTCCCTCTCTCTCCCCTCTCTCTCTCCTCCTCTCCTCTCCTCGTCTCATCCACACCCTCTCTCTCCTCTCCAACAGGGATCAAACTCTCTCAGTCCTCCTCTCCTCTCTCTCTCTCATCTACTCTACCTCCTCTCCAAGCTCTCTCTCTCTCTCTCCTCTCCTCTTCTCCCTCTCTCTCTCAACTCATCTCCTCTCTCCTCCACCTCCTCTCTCTCCCTCTCTCTCTCTCTCTCCTCTCTCTCCTCTCCTCTCCCTCTATCTCCTCTCTCCTCTCTCGCTCTCTCTCCTCTCTCATCGATCATCTCTCTCTCCTCTCCTCGCTCTCCTCCTCTCTCTCTCCATCTCTCCCTCTCTCCCTCTCTCCTCAATCTTCTCTCTCTCCTCTCTCCTCTCTCTCCTCTCTCCTCTCCTCTCTCTCCTCCTCTCTCTCCTCTCACCACTCGTCGCTCTCCTCCTCCTCGCTCCCTCTCTCTCCTCTCCCTCTCTCCTCTCTCCTCTCCTCTCTCCCTCTCTCTCAATCGCTCTCTTCCCTCTCTCCTCATCCTTCTCCTCTCTCCCTCCATCTCTCGCTCATCCTCCGTCCTCTTCTTCTCTGCCTCTCTACTCCCTGTCTCTCGCTCCTCTCTCTCTCTCTCCCTCTCCTCACCTCTCTCCTCTCTCCCCTCTCATCCATCCTCTCTCTCGCTCCCTCTCACTCCCTCCCATCTCCTCCTCTCCCTCACGCTCTCCCTCTCACTCCTCTCCACCTCTCCTCTCTCCTCTCTCAGTCTCCTCGCTCGCTCTGCCTCCTCTCCTCGGCTCTCCTCTCCTCCTCTCTCTCTCCTCTCCGGCTCCCCTCCTCTCTCCCTCTCGTTCACATCTCCTATCTCGCGCTCGCTCTCTCCTCCTCTCTCTCTCGCTCTCATCTCCCATCCGCTCCCTCTCTCCTCTCTCTCGCCTCTCTCTCCTCTCTCCTCTCTCCGCTCCTCTCATCCCTCTCTCTCTCTCGCCTCTCTCCTCTCCTCTCCTCCTCTCTCACCTCTCTCCTCTCTCCCTCCTCTCTCTCCTCTCTCTCCCTCTCCTCTCTTCGCTCTCTCATCCTCCTCCTCTCTCTCCTCGCCTCTCTCTCTCGCTCTCCTCTCTCTCGCCCTCTCTCTCCTCCTCCTCTCCTCTCTCTCCTCCTCTCTCTCCTCTCTCCTCCCTCTCTCCTCTCTCCTCCTCCTCTCTCTCCCTCCTCTCCTCTCTCCTCTCTCTCCCTCTCTCTCCCTCTCTCCTCTCTCCTCTCTCCTCCTCCCTCTCCTCTCCTCCTCTCTCCCTCTCTCTCTCTCCTCTCTCTCTCTCCTCCTCTCCTCTCCTCTCCTCTCTCTCTCCCTCTCTCCTCTCCCTCTCCTCTCCCTCTCTCCTCCTCTCTCCTCTCTCCCCCCTCTACGTCGCTCATCACTCCTACTTCCATCCTATCTCCTCGCATCCTCTCCCTCTCCTTCTCTCCTCCTCATCTCCCCTCCTCTCACACTCTGCCTCTCTCCTCTCTCTCCTCTCTCCCAATCCCCCGCTCCCTCTCCTCGCTCCTCGCTCCGCCTCTCAACCCTCTCCTCATTCAAACTCCTCGCTCCTCACTCTCTCTATTAAACCTCCCATCCTCTCCTCTTATCTCCTCTCATCCTATCCTACTTCCCTCCTCCACATCCCGTCGATCATCTCGTCCCTCCTCTCCTCAATTCTCCTTCTCCGCTCAGCCCTCCGTGTCCTCCTCTTCTCCACTCAACGTCCTGCGTCATCATAAACATGAGAACCTCACCCTCCCCATCCACCCTGCTCCTCCTCGCTCCCTCCCAGCTCCTCGGCGCCCCACAGCCCGAATGTCACCCGTCATCTCGGCAGCGTCATCTCTCTCTCTACTCTCCTCTCCTCGATTCCTTACTTGTCTCTTTGTCACATTCCTCCGTCATCTAGTTCGTCTCCCCTCACCACTCTAGTAGTCTCCCTTCTGTCAGGCAACTTTTCTTACAGCTCAACGTATTCTAATGCTCTCTCCAAATCGCAAGCAGAACGGGAAACGGAGCAACCCAAAGGCCGGAAAGCCACCAACAAAGCACAGACCTAACCAGGCGGTACGCAGTCGCGGTTACTTTCGTAACGCTGGCGCGAGAGTGTGGTAGACCAAACAGCCCACTTAGAAAGAAACCGGGTTCGCCACGGGATACTCGTAACCAAACAAAACCAGTCTAGCGATGTCTGGCGAGACAGAGACACTCGCAAGCTCCCGGAACGCGACAATCCAACAACGATGAGAACAGCAGATTCCCGTGCCTGTCTCTCACCCAGATTTCCCCGTCCCTTACCCCTCCCCCGCCTTAGCGCCAGTCCTTCCGGGCGGCACCACACAAACACCCGCGACTGTTAGTCCAGCGGGCCTTATTTTTGATCTCCTCCCACACACAAACGCAATACCCCGACTTACGAACGCCCACTCCAGGACGCAGCCTCACCCAGAACCCCCCGCTGGCCCGCTCTCAACACAATCCTTCCCGGTCATTCTAGCCCTCACATTCTCGTCGTGACCCCTACTCCAACCGGTCTCGTGTCCAGCTCATCTCTCCCTCCTCGCCCCTCCCTCGTGCACTCCCAACGCCTCTTCTCCCATCGCCCTCTCTCCTTGTTCTCCACGCACGCCTCCCCAATGCCTCGACCACGCTCGAGCACCTCTCCAGCTCGCTATCCCGGCCGTTTCCACCAGCTCACATCTCCATCATGGTCAGTCGCCTCCTACACAAAACACAGTCCAACTCCTGGTCCACTCCACACAGTCCACATCAGCGTCATAATATCCCTTCTCACGACAATGACGAGACTCCGCCCATCCCCCAAGATGCAAGGGGCTTCGAACCTGGGTCCCTCTCTCGCCGGTACCTTAGCATTCCACCATGCCACTCTCCCTCTATCGCCGCAAACCTCTTCCGGTTCGTCCAACAAGTCCTCATCAACCCGTCCCCGTCTCAAGTCGCATCCCCACGGGCTACAAATCCCAACCCCACTCTCTCCGGTCTCTCTTCATGAGAGTCAGCAAGGCCCATCCTCTTCCCCCACGGCAACCGCTTATCCAACGCAACATAAACAACGACTTCCACAGTCAATCTGACCTCTATTACCCTCATCCCACGTCTCAGCCCATCTCTGTCTCTTCACTCCTCCTCCTAACTACCATCTATCGCCGGCGCATCACGACTCATCCAAGTTCTAATCCTCATCTCCACAATCCACTCGGCCCACGCACTCCAAACTTGTTCGACACCGTCCCCCGACACGTCGCTCGATCCTCCTCTCAATAATCCTCGTCTTCCACATTCTCATCTCACTCCCTCCGCCGCACGTCAAGGATCACATTCAATCTTCAACTCGTCTCACGCTTCAGACTCCTCCATCCACCGGTGAAGTCAGACGACCGACTCACTGCACCCAGAAAAAAGTCGATGTCGGGGGGTGGGGAGCTCGCCGACAGAGTCAAGCAAGGCCTCACCGTCTCTCCTTGCTCATCACATCTCGAACTCCCCTCTGACCGTCCCCCCTCGTCCCACGGTCGCAGACTCCTTGGTCCTACTCAACTCATCAGTTCCATAACTTTCCTCAGCCAACGATCCCACTATCGCCTCTCAGCCTCCTCACAACCACCCGCAGATCGATGTTCCCAAGTGAGCTCTCCTTCGTATCATCGTCCTCTGGTATCTCAACATCGAGTATCTCCCCAATCCGCCACTCTCTCTCCTGCCTCTCTCCCCTCCTCCCCAATCAATACTCTCATCCCGATCTCCCCATTCTCGCAACGGACCCGTCGCTCGACCATCCATCTATCATCCCCTCCCGACGTCTAAAATCCTCTCACATTCATTCGTCCTCCCCGCTCTCATCACGAACAATCCTCCTCCCCACCCGTCACCCTTCCTCCATCTCCCCCCTCTCACCTCCTCCCACACGCAACTCTCACAGTCCCAATCCTTCTCGAAGTCTCCTGCACATCCGAGCCCGCCCCAGTCTCTGCGTCCATGAAAGTCTCTCATTATCGTCCCTGTCTCCGGCCATCACGTCTCATCCCATACTGAGAATCTCCTCTAGACAGATCCCTCCCATCCTCTTGTCAGATCTCCCTCTCCAACTCTCATCCACCGATCTCCACCTCTCTCTCTCAATCCCCTCCAAAACAGCGTCGAAAGAGATCAAGACCTCCCCCCGGCTCTACCGCCTACAAATAAGCTCGCGGGCGTCATAACCAGGCACACTCTCCGCCTCCTCTATATAGCCTCTCACCCCCCAACTGCTCGCCACACAACTCAGATCAACCGTCTCCCATCCCCATCCCCCACTATCCAATCGCAATCTCAACGGATCGGCCCCGATCTTCTTCGCGCCCTCCCCCAACGAGACGAATCCGTGCCCGACCCACCTCTACAAGAGACCGTCCACCTCGCCCCGCATCCCTCAACAAAGACCCCACATCCCCTCGCCGTCCCAGTCTCAAGACCCGCATCCGGTTTTCCCTCACGGCCCCGTCTCAACTGATACGCCCAACTTAAGACAATGATCCCGAAACAACCCCATCTCGCCCCGCTAATCAAGAGCGACCCAGGATCCGACCGATTTCCGCCTCGTCTCAAAACGCAGACTTCGAATGACCTGAACGCGCTAAGATCAGTCTCAGTCCACTCCACAGCTCACTCGATCCACCGGAGCAATCATAAGGTCCTACAAACTCAATCATCCAACGTCCCACATCACACCCCCCTCCAGGGATCGCCTCCAAATGTCCCGACAATTCGCACAGAGGTCCATCTCATCCCAGCGTCTCTCTCTCACGAACCGACGGAATCCCAAACCCCCCGATTCCCACCCAACCGAGACCAGTGGTATCGCCCCACCGAGAAACCTCAACATAGCCAACGTCGGCACATCCGCGCCGACTTACCAACTCTCTCCGCTCCCGTCACGCAGCCCGCACCCAGTCCTGGTCTTCTCACTCAGAGTGAAAAACCCCCTCATTCCAGTCGGCTCATGGGTTCAGGCCCCACGACCAACCTCGTCTCGAGTCGATCCTCTCCCGAACCGGGTGTGTTAGCAAGCGGACGATTTGTCCCGATCATCTCAGGTCTTTCCTCCAACCAGCTCTAACACCGATCTCTCTATCCCGGCAATTCCTCAACACAGATTCCAACCTTCCGACCGAGTCGGCTCGGACCATCACTCTCTCTACTCCAGTGGCCAACCTCCCGGTGACCCATCTACCTCCTCATCAGATCCAAGTCTAACCAAGGGCCTCCGGTCATCCTACCACCCGTCCATCCCCCATCAACAGCAGACGGTCCTAACAAACTCCCTCCACGTCCTTAATTCCACCTACCGATGGAAGTCTTTCATCCTCCTCGACTAAAAAAGTCCTCCCTCTCCCTCCTCCCGCTCTCGTACATTTCATGGCTCTTCTTCCATCCGCACTTCCATTCTCGTTATCTACCACCTAAACTCGACTCTCCTCCCCCGCCTCCTCTCATCTTCTCTCGACTCCAAGCGAGTGGGACGATCCGCAGCCTCCAGCTATGGTCTCTCGCTTCCCCATACTCGTAAATCCTCTCCAGCTTCTCTCAGACTAGATCTCTCGCTCGGGCATCAACACTCCTCTCATCGATCCTGTAGAATCCTCTCCTCCCGTCCACCTCTGAGAACGATCATCATCCACACAACCTCAACAATTCCCCCATCGCCGAGCACAGCAGCCGCGAGCTACTCGTCCCAAGTTTCCCCCCGTCATCCGGACGTCTCTCCTCCTCTCACTCCCTCCCAACTATATCTTCCTTCTCCAACCTCGATCGACCGCCCCTCTATCCCTCCCTACTCCTTCAACCGCGAGCCTCCCTTCTACCCGAGAAAGGTCTAGAAAGCTCGGTTCACCTCTCTCTCTCCCCCTCCCTCTTCTTCGCTCGAATCTCAAGCCTCGTTAAAAGCAACGCCTCCCAATCATCCACTCTCCTCGAGTTCCTCGCTGAGATCAAGCCTTCACTATCTCCTCCTCATCTTCCCCGTCCTACGCCGGGCATGTATCAATCAAGTTCCACGCGAATCCTTCTCACTTACGGTCGTCATGAACCGTTATCCCTTCCCCGTCCTCTTCTCATCCTCAAGTCCTCCCGTTCACTCCCCCTGGAATCCAGGCTCTCAATCGCTTCTCTCCAGCTCCAACTCATCCTCTGACACAACGTTCTCTTCTATTCATGTCTCACCCCCATAGCGATCTACTTCCGATCCTCCCTCCTCTCTAGGCCGTCAAAAGGCCGCGATCTGGAGCTCTCATCGCTCGACCTCCCCCTCTGCTCGTCAATGCAGGAATAGGTCACTCGACCTCTCAGCATCTCAGCGTTTGGCTAGCCATCCCCACAGACGCAATCTACTATCAACGTACCCTTCGATTCACTTGTTCCGGCCCCTAACAATCTCAGGTCCTTCCCCTCCAAGTGCCCCATTCATCGTCTTTCTCTGTCTCTCTCGCTCCGTCGTATCACTTATCCCGGCGTCTTCGCTCGGCAGTTCCGGCTCCTCTCTCTCGCACGCCCCTTCTCCTACGTCCTCCGTCACAGTCTCTCGTTCTCTTCCGAATCTCATTCACTTCTCAAGGGTAATCTATCCAGAGACAAACTATCTCGCCTCACACCTCCTTACGCCCGAAGGATCCTCCCCTCGTCGTCTCTCCGCCCCTGCTCCATCCCTAACCCCTCTCACACTCCCAACCTCTCGAGAAATCCTCCCGCGCCCTCTTCGCCTTACTCTAGTCTGCATCAAAAAGCATCAGACTCGTCGCTGCCTCTCGCTCATCTACTTCTAGGGCTCGCTTCTCCAGTCACACATCTCGCAAACACCACGATCCATCACTCTCACCCAGGGCAGGACCTGCCCCCTCCTCATTCTCCTCAGGCTCCTCGCCTCCGCACACCTCCTCCGTTCCACCTCCTCCCGCTCCCCTCTCTCCCCACCGACCCCAGTCCCTCACACTCCGAGCGACGTCCATCTACCTCTACATCCGTCCTCACGCATTATCGGCTCCTACACCATCATATCTCTCTCCAATCCTGCTTCTCTCCTCCGTCTCACAATCGAACGGGATCTCTCTCATCCCTCTCGGGAATCTCCTCTCGCACATCCTTACGGTCCTCGATCTCTCTCTCCCGCCTCTCCTCACCCACGTCGAGTCTCCCACCAGCCTCCTCCGGCTGCACAATAACTCGCGCTCCTCTCTCTTATCACGTATCTCCTCTCCCGGCCTCGGTCATTTCTCCTCGTCGGGATCTCCATCATCCTCTCCTAAGTCCCTCGTTCCCTCGCATCCGTCCCCCTTGGTAAATCCTCAGCGACATAGTAGTCCGCCTCATCCTTCGTCCTCACTCCTCACGCCCCCCCATTACCTATCCTGTCCTCGTCTTATCCTACGCTCGTTTCCCCATTCTCTCTTCCATTCGGACATCCTCGCCACATTCGACATCTACCTCTCCCTCCCACTCTCTCCATCACGTCACGACCAGGCTACCACTCTTAAGATTCTCTCACAACATCATCGTATCCCACTCTCTCCCCGCATCTCCTCTCGCTTCCTTCCACTCTCAACCCTCATCATCACCACATCACTCGCCAGGCGTCCCTTCCTACCGTCGCAACATTCGTCCTCTCAGGCCATCGTCTCTCCGCAAACATCGGTGCAGTGGCATTCGCGGACTATCCACTCAGTCTCTTCCTACGTCTCCTGAAGAAAATCCTCTTCCCCGACACTCCATGCCCTCGTTACTAACGTATCCGCTCGATGCGACCTGGCGTAGGCTCAGTAAGCTGGTGCGACCAACTCTGAACATGGATCGTGACACTTTCTAGTGTCCACGGCCCCGCCTCGTCGACCCTCGATTCATTCTCCCCTCGCGTTCCTCCGTCTCGTGTCCTCAATACAACATCAGTCATCACAAGAAGCTGATACAACCGTCAGATCCAACACATGCTCTCGGTCCTCCATCTCTCGTCTCGGACACCCCAGCAGCTTACTCCCCCATCCTCCCTTCCGTCAAGATCTACTCCTAGACGGGTCAGAAACTCATCTCCCGCTCCGCTCAGACCAGCGCTACAACTTCTTTCCTTCTCCTCGCACCGTCGTCCTGGTACATCTATCCACTTCGGACATCCCCCCCCTCGCCTCATCGATTTCAATCTCAACCATAATCGAGCCATCAGATCTCCTCCACGCCCAGAGCTATCCCTCAGACGCGGGTCATCCTTTCTAGATTCAGAACAAACCCAGCCCTACTTCGGCCGCTCAAACCCGGGTCTCTCATCTCCCTCTCGGTCCGCATGGCTCAACATCTCCCCCAATCCGTCTTGTCACACCGAATTCTTCATCTTACGCTCACGGCCACTGTCTCACCTCTCTCGCTCAGCGTCAATCCGCTTCTCCCCATCACTCTCAATCCATCGTCGCCATCTTCTATCCCCAGTCGCCAAAGGTCTCTCTCCTCGAATTCTCCAAATCTCACAGAAGTCCCTGGACGCTCAGATTCCGTCTTCGCTCAAAGGAGGACTGCATCAAAAGGTACCATCCCCTGACCACTCCTGGCAATTCCGGACTTCCGCGGCATAGAGGGTCGAGACGAAGTAACTCCCAAATCAATCTATCGTGGTACACTAGCATCTTAGACCACTCCAGATCCCCAAAAAACCCCCGTCTACCGATCTCATCAACCGTCGAATGATCATCCTGATCCTTACCCTCAAACTCATCATCTCAACCCAGAGTACTTCAGCTCTTCAAAAGGTCTTCATCGTCATCTCACACTCGACGAGACCGACCCCATCCCCATCGGATCCAACGTCGTAATAAGCATCCCGGACCATCAAATCCACGATCCCTCGGATCATGTATCACAGCTGTCGGGGTCATACTCACGGACTCACAAATCCCTCCTCTTCACTCTCCGCATTCGGACCATCTTCAACACCACCGTTCAACAACCAAAACGATACTCCCACACTCCAGCGGGAGTTACCTCCCCTCGTTCCCTCCCCCAGATCTACTCGTCGCCCGTCATCTCATCACCTCCAACAGTCCCGAATCACACTCTCAATCAAAAACCGGCTCTCGACTCTCTCCCCCGCAAGTTCACAGGTCGCTCCATCCTCCCTTTCGCCCATCCCGCTATCCATTCCGGACTCGAGCAGCCACCGTATATAGGCCATTCACCCTCCTATCCCTCACAGAGCCTAACCTTCAACTCCGCGTCCTCCTATCAACCACCAACACTCCTCCCGGACACACCTAATCTTCGTCTGCCGTATCATCCCAAATCTGCTCCTCGGCCACAGGTCGATAATCTGGCCCTCATCTCCGCGTCTCCTCGGATACGCTACTCCTCACCTGGAAAACGAAGCCTCTACCATCGCCGATCCTCAAATGCTCTTCTCACTCCTGCGATCTTACTTCCTAGTTCACACCTCCCTCCAATCGTCCCGAATCAGTCCATCCACATCTCATCAGATAACCAAGGTCGTCCAGTCAGTTGCGACCACCCCTCATGTCAGGCGCGGATTCAACTCCCCGAACATCAATCCGCCCCTACCATCCAACCCTACTACCAGGTCAGCCCGGCGACATCACATCACTGGCTCGGACACCACGCATAGCCGGTCCCTCTCTCATCACCACACTACTGCCCCTAACTGTCCAGGTTACGTAAATGCGCCGAAACTCCCCAACGAATTACACGCCCCCTCCCCTTCACCTCTCAGTCGTCCCTGGACACAACTTCCGCGACTCATCCCACTCCGAATCTTAAATCCCCGAGACTCACTCGCCTCGCGCATCTCTCTCGTAACTCCTCTCTACGCCCCCGTCTCTCTCCCCTAATCCTCAGGCATCAGTCCCTCCCATAAAGCACGTCTCTCCTCAATCTCGCTCACTCCTCCGTCATACACAAGAAGCATCCCACCCCGCAACGAAGCTCCGGGAGTCTAGCCGTCTGATCCCCGTTCTCCTCCCAATTCCCTCTCCTCTGTTCGCGTCAGTCGTGCCTCCCCAAACTCTTCATCTTCCATCACCCTCCCAAGCCTCTCTAGCGGAAGCATCTCGTCTCCACGTCATCGGCGTCTCTCTTCCATGGGCCCCCAAACTCAATCTGGTCCCTCGATCCCATCACCTCTCGCCGCGCCGTTCTCTCTTTCTCTTTCTACTCTCTCACCTTTTTTCATCCTTATTTCCTAAGTCTCATCACCAAAGATCATGATCGGCCTGTTCTTCGAATTCCTCCCTCACATCGTTCCACGGTCGCCCGTCGGGAAAGACACGCCATCGTCCCTCCATCATCAGACTCATCACAGTTCCTCTCCCTCCAACACTCATCTTTCCCTCCTCGGCCTCCTTCTCATCTCAAAGTACATCTAAGTCGCTCTTCGCTCGCTGACTCCCTACGTCTCAGGTCCCTCTCCATCTCTCTGTTCTCTCTCGCTCTCTCCTCTCGTCACATCTCTTTCTCCCCCTCCTCAGTCCGCCATTGATCATCAGCCCAGGTCCCACGCTCCCTCAGCATCCCTCCTCACTGGTCCTGATCTCTCCATCTCCTCGAGTCCATCCCAATCCAGCTCGATCATTCAACGGCGAGAATCGATCAGAATATCCTATCTCCAACAGCGCTCAGGGCACCACGGACCGCCCTCCTCTCTCGCCATCCTCCTAGGCTTCTCCAATCTCCCTGAAGCGGCCACGCACTCTCGTCATGCCTCTCCAAACTCCCCGTCGCTGCACGAGCCACGTCTTTCACTTCTCTGGTCTCATTCCCATGTCATCTCCTACTCCATCATGCCACGCCCCTCCCTCCTTCTCAGCTCTATCTCTCACTCTCGCACGGTCCATCACTCTCTACCCCCCTCCCCCCCGCATCCCCTCCACACACCCCGTCCCACTCCTAATCACCCACGCGCGCTCCTCCTTCTCATCCATAAATCGATCTCCTCGCCCCGTCTCGGCTACCTCATCCCCCTCCTTCAAAATTCGTGTCCTTCGAATCTCATCACACTCTTCTCAATCCGTCCTCCAGGCTCTCCGTCGGCAGCTACTAACCAGAGAACAACATCCCGCGACCCCTCTCTAGGACCGCCGTATGCGTCCCGTGTAACATCGTCACACGGGCCGACTCGCAACGAGCCGAAGTCCCGACGCTCAATAAATCTTCGCCACACGATATCATCCACCCGCCTCTTTTCTCTGCCCCGTCCATCATCCTGCTCCCTCCTTCCTTCCCGCACGGACTCGATCCATCCCCTCTCCTGAGTGATCCATCCACACCAAAAGAAGCGACGAACACTCTCCCCCCTTTACGAGTTCGGGGCGAAATCACCACAAGACCGTCCCCGCATCAAACCGTCACCTCTGCATCCTCAGTCCCCTCTAACCTCCCTCCCCGTCCCCCGCACACTCCGCACACCGTTCAGCCACCAGCTCGTCATCCACTCACACGTAATCCCTTCAAAAACTCAACCCTCTCGCTACCTTATCTCCAACTCCCTCCCGCCTTACACCGTCTCAGGCTCCGCTTTTTCTCTACCGCGGGGAGAACTCACGTTCCTCGTGCTCCGCCCCACAAGGACACCGCGTCAGCTCCCTTCCTCTCATCCCGCACGTACCGCCTCCGGCCGCCATCTATCCACAATTCCCTCAGCCTCCATCTCTCCATCCCATCCTGATCTCATCCTCTTCACTCTCGAGCTTTTCCTCCGGTTCGCGTATCCTATCCCCATGACGTTACACACTCACTCTCGGTCCCCAGCGCAACGTCTCCTCCTCGCGTCCTCCCCCTCCTCGTCGTCGTCCCTTCCTTCCCCTCAATCGGTCTATCTCTCCCAGTCCACTTCTCCCAGCACTCACTCTCGTCGCGATTCATCCTCTCTTCCTCCTCTCATCCTGTCGGTTCCGGCGCTTCTCCCGTCTTCCTCCTCGGCCCTACTCCCCGGTCCTTCCCTCCTCGTGACTCTCTGTCCGTCTCCCTAGCTCCCCCTAGTCTACCTCTCTCCTTTCATCCCAATCTCTCGTCTCCCTCACTCCCTCCTCCGACTCCGACATCTCACCCGTAGCGTCGCTCCCTCCTCGGAAGCCTCTCGCCACTGTCTTCCTAGCTCCCCCTCTCCCCGCCTCTCTCTCCACTATGCGTCGCGGCACTAACTCCTCTCTCCTCCCGCCGCTCTTTTCCTCCTCATCTCCCTCCTCCAATCCTCCCCTCCTTCTCCCTCTGACTCAGCTCGAGCAGTCCTCTCGTCCTCTCCTCAACTCTCTTACCTCCCGGTCACCCTCTCCTCCACTCCCTACTCTCTCATACCTCTCTCCTCTCCATCGATCGCTTACTCCCAAGTCTCTTCCTCCACTCGCCCTCTCCATCTCACCTCCTCTCATTCTTCCTCTTCTCCGACATCCACCTGTCTCCCCCGCCGTCACTCTCTCAACAACTACAGGGGTAACCGTGCTCTCACCTCTCCCCACAGCTTCCTCTCGGCCTCCCCTCCCGCTCCGGCCATGACCAAGCCGTCTATCCGTCTCCCATCCTACTCTCATCCATCTCCTCCATCTCTCTCTGATACTCACCTGACCTCCACCTCCAATCTCCCCTCGCCCCTCTCGACTCCGCTCGCTCGTCTCACACCCTCCTCTTCTCTCTATCTCTCTCTCAATCTCCCTCCATCTCTCCGTCCAGGACCATCATTCCCTCGCTCCTTCTTCTCCCCGCCGATTCTCCCCGTCGCTCATTCCCCACGACTATCCTCGTCTCTCCCTCGCCTCCTCCGACTCTCTCCCCGAACCTTTCTCCCGTTCGCCGCCCATCCTTTCCCTCTCTCTTTCTCTTCCCTCACCTCCTTCCAGCCTTCATTCTGCTCTCCTCTCGAATTCTCTCATCCTCATCAAACATCTCGACACGTCTACTCTCCCTCATCCCGCCCCCAGTATCTCTTCTGTCTCCTCTCCTATCTCCCCCTCTCCTGTCCCATCTCCCCCCCTCTCCTCCGCTCCCCTCCTCATCATTAGTCCTTCCTCATCTTCCTCTCCCGTCTCCTAACCATCCACTCAATCCTATCTCTCATCCAACCTCTCTCATCCTCCCTCTCTCAGCCTTCCCTCTTCCTCTGTTCTCTCCAACCCGCACTCCCTCTCACTCCCCCGCTAACCGTCTCTCGTTCGTACAGCTTCTCTCCATTCGTCTCCTCTCTCCTCTCCTCCGGCCTCCCTCTCATCTACTTCTCCAATCCTCGGCGGCACTTTCTCCTCTCTTCCTCTCCTCCTCCTCTCGCCGCCAACCCCTCTCACCTCTCCCGTCCCTCCCGTTCCTCTCCCGCGCTCCCTGGTTCACAATACTCCCTCACTCCGCACATCCTCGTTCAGTCTCCCCCTTCTCCGATCCTCTAGTCTCTCTCTCCGAATCTCTCCATCCGCCACTCTCTCTCTCCGTGACGTCAACTCCCATCGCTCTCCCCTCTTCCTTTCTCTCGCTCCTTCCCTTCGTCCTCGCCTCTCCCCGTCTCCTCTCCTCTCTCTCTCTCTCTCTCGCCCCCTCTTTGCTCAATCCCTCCCTTCCCTCCAAACTGTCCCTATCCCTTTCACGCCACTCTATTCTCTCCAAGGCTTTCTCATCTCTCCCCCTCTCACTCGTGCCCTCCCGACCGCAACTCTCATCTACTCTCTCTCCTTCGCTCCTCGCCTGTCTCTCCCTCCGCCTCTCTCTTACTCCCTTTCGACTCTCATCCACACCCGTCGCGTAGTCTCTCTCTCAGTCCACGTCGACTTCCGACCCCGCCTCTCTTCTCTCTCGACGCACCTCTCCTCCCCTCATCCGGGCTCCCATCACTCCACCCACTCTCTACGCCTCCTCAGGCGGTCTCGCCCCGCCTCGCCTCCTCCCCCTCCACCCTCTCTCACTTACTCTCTCCTCCTCTTACACTTCATCACTTCTCCCCCCGTCGCCCCCCTCTCCTCACCCTCCTCCTCCGGTTCTCCTCCTCTTCTTCTCACTACTCGCTTCCCTCCATCCTTCCTTCACTCATCCACACGCTCGACCTCTCGTCTTCCTCTCATCCTATTCTCTTGAAGCCATCGTCTCACTTCTCGTCTCATCACTCCTCCCTCTCTACCGTATCCGCTCCGCTCTCTGTCTGTCACTCTCACTTCGTGCGCTCCTTCTCCTCCCCCTCCGGGTCCGTGCTCGTCGCGCTCTCTCCTCTTCCCTCTCCCTCGTTCTCTCAACCTCCTCCTCCTCTCAAGCTCCTTCATCTCCTCTCGCCTACGTCTTCTCGCTCCTCCTCTCTCCTTCCCTCTCCTCTCAGAACCTCCACGTCGCCATCTGAACTCACCTCACCTCGCATTCTACCTCTCATCCCGCTTACCCATCACTCACGTCGTCGCTCACCTCCTCCGCATCGCCACCCAGTCTACGTGCCGCTATCCTCCCTAAAATCACGACGGCTCGTCGCGCGCCTCCCGCCGCCAATTGATGCTCTCTCCCTCTGCTACCCTCTTCGACACCTCTTCCTCCACAACCCTCCCCCTCCACCGTCTCTCTCCCCCCACCCTTCTAACTCTCATCCCCTTCCCGTTATCCCTCTCTACTCGCAGCATTCTGATACTCCGCAATTCTCCCCGAAACAACTCGCTACCCTCCACTCTCCATCAGGCTCGGTCTATGCCCTCTCGCTCCCACTCAATGCCTTCATCTCTTCATCCCCCCTCCCTCATTCTCTCCTCCTCCCATCGTGCTTCGCCTTCCTTCTCTCTCTCCCACTCCCACCATCTCCAGGCATCTCTCGCCTCCTCAACTCTTCTCCCTGGCATCCGCCACAACATAACATCCCTCTGCGTCTCCGACGATTACATCACCCCTCTTCATCCACTAAAGTCTCATTCTCCTCACTCACCCAACCCTCTTCCCGACCGTCGATTCCCCTCTGCAACTCCCCTCCTCTCCTTCCGACTCTACTCATCCCCTCCAATCCTCCCGACTCCTCTCACCTACTCATCTGTCCATCCAGCATCTCTACTCAAACTCGGCTCAGCAACTCCCACGTCACATGGGCTCATCATCCCCGCCGCGCTCAGCACATCCTATCGCGACTCCCCCCTTCACAGTCTTCCTGTGTTCTCTCCTTCCGTCCTCTCCCCGTCTTCGCATCGCTCGATCCCTCGGCTCGTCTCATCCCACTTCAATCCCCCCTCCCCTCCTCCCATCCCCCCTTCCTCCTACTCGCGTCCGAGTCTCCTCAGCCTTTCGCTCCCTATATCTGCACCATCTCCGTCTCGGTTCTTCTCCCACCCTCGGAACGAACTCAAGACATCAGGCCATCCACCGTCCACTTCAACGAGAGTCCCGCTCCTTCCCCCCGACCTCTCACCCTACATCCTCGGGTCCCGTCGCCTCACTCACTCTCTCCCTCGTCATCTCGTCACGCTCCCTCCTCCCTCGCGGCTCGGTCTCCTCTCCTAACTCTCCGAACGTCCACTCCCAACTCGTCCCCCCGTCTCTCGTCCTCTTCTCACCCCGCCTCCGGCGACACGTCCACGCGACTCACATCGCCCGTCAAATCTCAATCTACCCACAGTCCTCGCCGAGACCCTCGTCCTCTCCAGTCTCCTCCTTTTTCGTACACATCACTCCCGTCCTCCTTTATCCATCTGTCTCCATCTCCCATCTCAATCAGCCAATTCCGCCCCGTCTCTCACTACACCGTCCCTGTCCCCCTCGATCACCGCCCAATAAAAAACCCGACTGGCATTGTTCTCCTCATCCCATCGCTTCCTCGTCGGGCCTCTCCCGCACTCGTCCTCCCCTCCTCGCCTCCTCACTCATCCCTCGTCTCATTCTCGTGTCTTCCGTCCTCTCTCCTTCATCCGCGACTCCTCGGCTCTCGTTCATGGACGTCAACCCGCCCTCGAGCTCACCAAACCGTCGACTCTCTCCCCCCATCTCCTGTCCATTCTCTCCGTCGCCCATCTCTCGTTTCCAACTCCTCCTCGTTCCTCCCATGAGCTCGCCGCTCATTCCTGACGTCCATCCGATCGCATCCTCACCTCCGAGTCTCTCAGGTACTCTAGTTCTCCGGTCCCTACTCTGGCCCACCTCTCGGATACGTAGCCCTCACCTGCCGTCGCACTGCATCTCACGGACCAGATCCACTCCCGTCCCGACGACAGGATTCAATCTTCCATCTGGCCCCTGATCTCAAGCCTACGCCATCCTTCCCCAACCGACAGACTCAAGTCGAACCTACATCGAACCGAACTCCCTCGACTTCACTACGTCCTCTCCGTCCACTCGTAGCCTCGGTCTTCCACAATCTCCGTCAGCACGTTGATAATTTCATCCCTTTCCTCGACTCACAAAACGTATCTTCCACGATTCCTTCGCATTGCGTTCCTCTCAGTCTAACTATCATCGTCGCTCCATCATCGCTCCGTCCACCTCCGCGATCCGTCCTTCTCCCCCCCTTCGCCACAGAGCCCTGCTCTCGATCTCCCTCCCTCGCCTCGTCGCTCTCCCTCCGTCCTCCACACATCTCTATCAATGTCCACTCCCCCCACAAGGTCTTCGCCCTCAATCTATTCCGACTCAACTCTCTTACCTCTCACCCAGGTTCTCTCTTCTCCTCCACGTTCACTCACTCGACCACTACCTACACCAACAAATCTGCGCCAACCGTTCTCAATCCTTCCCGAAATTCAATCCCCTCACCCCTCTCGGTCCACCCACACGTCACGCTCATCTCCTCCCTCGTCACTCTCGCCCAACCACATCCGAACTCCCGCATCCTCCTCCCCCATTCTCCCTCCATCGGTCTATCTCCACACTTCAAAAGTACAATCACACGACAATCCTCAACGTCACCTCGATACCGTCTCCTCTCAAGGCTTCTCGTCGCTCCCTCTCTCCTAACACTCGTCCTTCAACCGGCTCCATCTCATCCTATCGCAACTCGCTGTCGTCCGCACGTCTCGCGTCCTTCCACCCTCGCTATCTCGACGCTCCACCAGCTCACGCCTCCACTCATCTCGCTCCCTCTCCAATCCTTCCTCTCCTCTCCTCCTCCTACCTCACTCAAAATTCCCCCTCTCTCTACCATACATACTGTTCTCCCCTCAGTTCTCCCAATCTACCTTCCCCTCCGAACTCAGCATCCATCACTCCCTGCTCTCCCCTCTCGTACTCATCTCTTTCCTCTCACCCATCGCTGCAGAACTCTCCCCCCCATTCTCCTCATCCTATGCGTCCTCTCCTTCTCTCTGCCGCCGGCCCTCCCCTTCGTCTCTCCCTCACTCGAATATCGTCCCACAGTCCATCTTCCCTCCCCTCCTCACAATACTTCCACTTCCGGCGCTCATCCTGCTCACCCGCCCTCAGCCGTCCCCTCCTACTTCCTCTCTCTCTCAACTCGTCCGTCGTCCAGATATCACCCCTTCCTCTCACAGTCTTCCGCTCCTCAACCTCCGCCCCTCCATCTTGCCACGGGTCTCATTCATCCTCCTTCGCCGCACCCTCCGCCAACTTCCGTCCTCCTCTCCCAACCACTCAAGATCGTCTCGGTTCGTCGATCTTCCAACTCACTCATTCCCTCTCCTCCGCCACTTCCTCCCCCCCCAATCCGTCAATCCTCCCCGGGGCGTCTCGCGTGGGATCGCCCCCCCCCCGTCGCCTCTCACTCTTTCTCCGATCCCACATCCTCACTTCTTCCCTCACCACGCTCCTGCCATCCGGGTATAGCCCAACATTCCCATCACATCGCGATCCTCAACGTCGCACGCGCGCGCTCATCCCCCACTCAACATCCATCCCCATCCCACACCTCCCATCTCCCCATTCTTTTCTCCGTGTCCCAGCACTCGTCCCATAATTCACTACTCCGCTCCGTCACGTACTCCTCCCTCCCTCCTTGCCGTCCCCTTCCCTCTAACCACCGTCTCCGTCCCTCCCCCACTCCCCTCCCTCCTTCTCCAATCACTCTTCTCCTCCACGACATTCAGAATCTCAGACTTTCATACCGTCCCTCCCTTCTACCTCTACTCACTCCGCCTCTCACGGTCCACAGACACCTCTCCATCCCCTCCTCCACTTCACTCTCCACTTCTGATCACTCCCTCAAACCCAACTCTACTCCTCTCCCTCCCCCATCCGATCAAATGCTCGTCCGTCACCAAGGTTCAAGAGAGCTTCTCGACACGCCCAACTCACGATAGTCACACACAGACCATCACTGTCTCTCAGTCCAATGGTAATCTCCCACCACGGCATCCGTTCAGTCGTCTCCGCAAACCTCATTCCTCCTCCCCCTCCTCTCACCTCCACAGTCGTCACGCCCACAGACCGCCGCCTCTCGTCTCCCGTCCTCATCATATATCTTCTCTCTCCACCGTATCCCTTCATCCTCCAACTCTCTTCTCCTCTCTTCCTCGCCATCCTGGCATCTTCTCCACGTCCCTCCATCCTCAATAATCTCATCCCTAACAGTTTCGAAGTCTCTAACTTATCATCCCCCGTTCACGGAACCTCACTTCCTCTGGACTTACAGAGAAAGTCCCCTCCTTCCCTCTCCACCTCCCCTCATCTCCTCTTCTCATCCTCTCTCAAGCATCTCCCCATCCATTTCTCTGTCGCCTTCGCCTGCTCCTTCTCAACTCCGTCCCTCACCCCCCCCTATCCTCCCCCCCTCCCCGTCGGCCTCTTCACTCCATTTCCGTCCAAAAACTCTCCCTCGCCAAATCCGTTACGCTTCTCCTCCTCCAACTCCGGTCCGACCTCTGGACACTCGACCTCCCGCGGTCTCCAGTCCGCTTCTGTCCGCCCAGGACACCATCCCCAGTCTCATCTCCCACTCCGCAATGTCCGTTCTGGCAACCTCCATATTCCGACGCTCTCATCTTCCGCTTCTCATCATATATCTCAATTCTCCGCTCCCTCCCGATCATTCCAACTCTCCACCGTCGATCCACCACTCCCGTCCCCTCCCACGCCTCCGCCTCTCAAAATCATCCTCTCTCTCTCTCGCCTCACTACAAATCCTCCCGGTCCCACCACGCCTCGAATATCCTCGGTCCTCATCACCGGTCTCCCTCATCGATCCCACCGGTCCATCTCCTGCTCCCAAAACCCTCAATCCGCTCGTTCCCATACCATTCGATACTTCGCCGTCGACCTTCCGGTCGGCTCATCCTCGTTCTCTCCTAATCATCCACCACCTCCTCAACGCCCCTACGTGGGTCATCTCCAGTCACTCTGCTCGGTCTAGTCTTCTTCTCCTCATGGCTCGGACACGACCTCCCCGTCCTCCCGAAAGCCACACCTCTCGGTCCCTCAAACTATCTCCGCCTCTACTTCCCTATCCCTCTCACAATCCTGATCTCCCCACATCCGACCCCTCACTTCGATCACTCGTCTCCCTCTCCTCTTCTTTCCTGCTGTTTTCAGCAACCTCATCGATCCACCGTTCTTCGAGCGGGCATGTCACAACTGTTCTCCCCGTCCCCAGCATTCACCGGAGCTCATCGCCTCATCATCCCCTCCTCCCCCAATCATCGCATCCTTTCCTCTCCCGCGACATCTCGTCTCCTCCTCTCTTCCACTCCCTCCTCTTCTCCCCTTTCACTTCTCTATCGATCGCTCCTCTCCGCCTACTCTCCCCTACATCTGATTCCTCCCCCTCTCTGTCCTCGTGTCTTCAGACTCTCCTCTCATATCATCTCTCTGTCCCCTACTTTCTTCCTCCGTCACGTAAGCGACGAATACCCCCTCCATCTCCTGCATCTTCCAATCTCTCCCACGATCTAAAAAGCTCCCTCTTCCGCTGCCTCCTCCCCTCCGTCTCTTCTCCCTGAACACTTCGCTCCCCCACTAACATCTCAAATCCCGCTCCTCCCTCTTCCATCCAATCCTCACTCTGCCAGCATCCTCCCTCACACGAAACTACGCCCCCCTCCATCCCCCCCTCACCTCCTCCCTCTCCCCGGCCCCTCTCCCTCTGCCAGTCCCTGTGCTCACTCCCTCGTCCATTCTCTCCTCCAGCTTCATTCCACTCTACTCGCGACTCCCATCCGGACATCTCTCGTCAATATCATTCCTCACTCTATCCTTCTTCTCACCCTCTCCTGCTTTTAACTCCTCTCTCCTCCTCAGCCCAATCCTTCGGTTTTCTCTCTCGTTCCGATTCCAACTCATCTCTCTTGTCTCCACTCTTCTCTCCTCCTGACCCTCGCCCCACTCCTCTCTTCCGCTCTGCTTTCCCTCCGCGCTCCTCCAGAGCATCACTCCGCTACATTTCCTCCTCTGCCCTCATCTCCTACCTCTCGCTCTCCCCTCGCCTCCTCTCGCCAACCTTCCCATCCCTCCTCTCCCCTCCACCAATATCCCATCCCTCCCCAATCACCTATCCCATCTCCTCCTCCCATCCCTCCTCCCGGTCGTCCTCCACTCCTCGTCCGCTTTCCATTCTCGGCAGTATGTCAAGCCGTCTCGCCAACGATTCTCCTCCGTCGTCCCTAACGTGATCCCGGCTCCACCGTCCCCTCTCCACCCTCAGCCAAGCCGCGAAACCATCCTCCTAACTCTGTGGCTCTTCCAGAGTCTCCAACCGCCACTTCGTCCATCCCGTACATCCTCTCCCTCTCATCTACCTCCTCCATCCCGCTCCTATCCGTTCCCCTCACCGTCGTCTCTCCTCTCTCGAACATTCTCCAACTAAGCTCCCGACCGCTGCCATCTGTCAAGACACTCCGTCACCCGATGCCCTACCCTCACATTTCGCCATTCTTCCGAACCTCGCTCCCCTCCCCACCCGAACACTGCAAACAAGCCGCCCACAATCCCAATCGTCGCCTCCATCCCCCATCCTTCGCTCCCACCAGTCTCCTATACCTCACCGTCTCTCCCCCGCACTCCTTACCTCCTCAAACTCCTTTCAACATTCCGCACTCTCAGCTCAAGTCCATCTCACTACGGCCCGAGTACTCAAATCCAGCTTCTCGTCGCCCCTTCTCAAAAGCACTCCTCACCTCTACCACCCAAGTCCATGCCCCCGGCAACCTCAGTCCCCCGCAGGCTTCTCAACCAAGTCGACCCTCGTAAAGCCCCTCGTACAGACGCTCGTCCTCGGCAATCAATAACGCGCCCCCTCTCTCTCTTGGCACCTGACCCCATTCATACCGTAAGGCCAAAGTCGACCCACCTCGTCCTCTCGACCACCCCCCCTCATACTCTCCTACTCTCCCTCGTCTCCCTCTGCCCCTCTCTCATCTCATCCACGCACGTACTTCCTGGTTCTAGTCAGGACTAATATGGTCGTACTTCCTGGTTCTAGTCAGGACTAATGTGGTCGTACTTCCTGGTTCTTGTCAGGACTAATATGGTCGTACTTCCTGGTTCTAGTCAGGACTAATATGGTCGTACTTCCTGGTTCTTGTCAGGACTAATATGGTCGTACTTCCTGGTTCTAGTCAGGACTAATGTGGTCGTACTTCCTGGTTCTAGTCAGGACTAATGTGGTCGTACTTCCTGGTTCTAGTCAGGACTAATATGGTCGTACTTCCTGGTTCTAGTCAGGACTAATATGGTCGTACTTCCTGGTTCTAGTCAGGACTAATGTGGTCGTACTTCCTGGTTCTAGTCAGGACTAATATGGTCGTACTTCCTGGTTCTAGTCAGGACTAATGTGGTCGTACTTCCTGGTTCTTGTCAGGACTAATATGGTCGTACTTCCTGGTTCTAGTCAGGACTAATATGGTCGTACTTCCTGGTTCTTGTCAGGACTAATATGGTCGTACTTCCTGGTTCTAGTCAGGACTAATGTGGTCGTACTTCCTGGTTCTAGTCAGGACTAATGTGGTCGTACTTCCTGGTTCTAGTCAGGACTAATATGGTCGTACTTCCTGGTTCTAGTCAGGACTCGAGCTGCTGCATTTTGAATGTACTGCAGCTGTTTTACAGCCTGTTTGGACAGACCTGTGAGCAGGCCATTGCAGTAGTCTAACCTACTGGAGACAAATGCATGGATAAGAATCTCCAGGTCTGCTTTAGACACTATGTTTTTGATCCTGGCAATGTTTTTTAGATGGTAAAAAGCTGCTGATGTTACTGATTTGATGTGGCTATTTAAATGTAAGTCTGAGTCCAGTATTACCCCTAGATTTCTGACCTTGTTTGAAGGTTTTAGGGAGAGAGACTGGAGGTGACAGATGACGCTCTCTCTTTGTTTCTGGGGACCAAAGACAATCATTTCAGTTTTGTCTGCGTTTAGCTGAAGGAAGTTGTTTTGCATCCACTCACTGATCTGTTGGATACAGTGAAGGAGTGAGTCCACTGGTCCATGTTCTCCTGCAGTCAGTGAGACATAGATCTGAGTGTCGTCTGCATAGTTATGATAGGAAACTTTGTTTCTGCGTATTAACTGACCTAACGGCAGCATGTAGAGATTGAACAGAAGAGGTCCCAGGATCGACCCCTGTGGGACTCCACAGGTCAGGGCCATATGATCTGAGACACAGTTTCCAATCTCCACAAAGTACTTCCTGTCTTCAAGGTAAGACCTAAACCAACTTAGGGTGGTGCCAGCGACGCCAACCCAGTCCTCTAGTCTCTGTAAGAGGATCTCATGGTCGACGGTGTCAAAGGCAGCACTTAGATCTAACAAGATTAGGATTGAGACTTTGCCTGCGTCAGTGTTCAGCCGGATATCGTTTGTAACCTTAACGAGAGCAGTCTCAGTGCTGTGGTGGGGTCTAAAGCCGGACTGAAACATATCAAATGAGTTGTTGATTATAAGAAATCTAGTAAGCTGTAGGTAGACAACTTTCTCAAGGACTTTCCCCATAAATGGCAGATTTGAGATGGGACGATAGTTGTTAAGTACCGTAGCATCCAGACTGCTCTTTTTTAGCAGGGGCCTGATGACTGCAGTTTTCAGGGCCTTTGGGAATATTCCAGAATGAAGGGACATGTTTACTATCTGTGTGAGTGAAGGTAACAGACTGCTCAGAACAGACTTCAGAAATCTAGTGGGTAGTACATCCAGGCTGCATGTGGAGGAGCTCAAACTGGAGATTATCTCTTGGACAGTTTTATCATTTACAGGTGCAAAGTGAGTTAGCTCAGAGAGCCTTTCTGGCTGTTGGATGGTTATCTGTGGATTGGAGACAATGGCGTTTTTGATGCCTTGAACCTTGTCATTGAAAAAATGTGCAAATTCATTACATTTACGTTTGGAAGTTAGCTCTAATGGCATTTGAACAGGGGGGTTTGTTAATCTATTAACTGTTGAAAACAGAACACGCAGATTGTTGCTGCAGCCTTCAATCATTTCAGAAAAATACCTTTCTCTCGTACTACGTAGCACCAGGTTAAACTCGCACAACTTATCTTTGAAGATCTCGTAATCAACCTGGAGGTTGGACTTGCGCCACTTCCGCTCGGCCCTCCGGCACTTTCTCTTTTGTGCTCTGACCGAGTCTGCTTTAGCCCACGGCGCCTTCTGCTTATTTTTCACTATTTTAACCTTCACAGGGGCAACGGTGTCCAGAACATTCAAAACACTAGAGGTGACAGAGTTAAACAGTTCATCTACAGTAGAACACGATGCATTTTCAAAGTTTATCATTCCCATAAATAGATCACTCGCATTTTCATTTATGCGCATACTCTGCTGTGGCCCCACCCACAGCAGAGTACAAGCCGATGGTATCGCCCCAATACCAGTATTGTATCAGACCATGTGTTTAGTATTTTAATAACAATATTATAGTGATATTTTTATCTTTCACCTTAAAATACAAATCTGTATTGAACCAAGAGGAAAATCTCTGACAGAAATGAAGCAACATTAATTCCATTTAAATGCAGCGCGTTCACCTCAGATTCCACAGAGTCTGCAGCTGTATATCCAAACAACTGCAGCTGTGGAGTTTTAGACTGTAAATACACAGCATGAAGTACCCTGTGGTTGTGCTGGAGGCGGCTGTGGAGTTTTAGACTGTAAATACACCCAAATTCCAAATTCCGTCGCAGCAGATTTGTCGCAGTGCACAAGAAATGTAAACATACAGTGGGGCAAAAAAGTATTTAGTCAGCCACCGATTGTCCAAGTTCTCCTATTTAAAATAATGACAGAGGTCTGTAATTTTCATCATAGGTTCACTTCAACTGTGAGAGACAGAATGTGAAAAAAAATCTTTGTAATATAACCTTTGTTGGCAATAACAGAGGTCGAACGATTACTATAGGTCTTTACCAGGTTTGCACACACAGTAGCTGGTATTTTGGCCCATTCCTCCATGCAGATTCTCGAGAACAGTGAACACGGACTTTCAACTCCCTTCACAGATGTTCAATGGGGTTGAGGTCTGGAGACTGGCGAGGCCACTACAGGACTTTCAAATGCTTCTTACGGAGCCACTCCTTCGTTGCCCGGGCGGTGTGTTTGGGATCATTGTCATGCTGGAAGACCCAGCCACGTCTCATCTTCAAAGCTCTCACTGTCCTGTCCCCTTAGCAGAAAAACAGCCCCAAAGCATGACGTTTCCACCCCCATGCTTCACAGTAGGTATGGTGTTCTTGGGATGCAACTCAGTATTCTTCTTCCTCCAAACACGACAAGTTGAGTTTATACCAAACAGTTGTACTTTGGTTTCATCTGACCACATGACATTCTCCCAATGCTCTGCTGTATCATCCATGTGCTCTCTGGCAAACTTCAGACGGGCCTGTATCATCCATGTGCTCTCTGGCAAACTTCAGACGGGCCTGGATCATCCATGTGCTCTCTGGCAGACTTCAGACGGGCCTGGACATGCACTGGCTTCAGCAGGAGGACACGTCTGGCACTGCAGGGTTTGATTCCCTGTTGTCGTAGTGTGTTACTGATGGTAACCTTTGTTACTTTGGTCCCAGCTCTCTGCAGGTCATTCACCAGGTCCCCCCGTGTGGTTCTGGGATTTTTGATCACCGTTCTCATGATCATTTTGACCCCACGGGATGAGATCTTGCGTGGAGCCCCAGATCGAGGGAGATTATCAGTGGTCTTGTATGTCTTCCATTTTCTGATAATTGCTCCCACAGTTGATTTGTTCACACCAAGCTGCTTGCCTATTGTAGATTCACTCTTCCCAGTCTGGTGCAGGTCTACAATTCTTTTCCTGGTGTCCTTCGACAGCTCTTTGGTCTTGGCCATAGTGGAGTTTGGAGTCTGACTGTTTGAGGCTGTGGACAGGTGTCTTTTATACAGATGAGTTCAAACAGGTGCCATTAATACAGGTAACGAGTGGAGGACAGAAGAGCTTCTTAAAGAAGAAGTTACAGGTCTGTGAGAGCCGGAGATCTTCCTTGTTTGAAGTGACCAAATACTTATTTTCCACCATCATTTACAAATAAATTCTTTACAAATCCTACAATGTGAATTCCTGGATTTTTTTTTCACATTCTGTCTCTCACAGTTGAAGTGAACCTATGATGAAAATTACAGACCTCTGTCTTTATTTTAAGTGGGAGAACTTGGACAATCGGTGGCTGACTAAATACTTTTTTGCCCCACTGTACATATGTCTAAATTATCGCGCATATTTTAGATATGGTTATTCACTCAGAGCTTTTATGATAAATGTCTGGTCAATAAATTAGTTTTGTAATTTGATTAACCTTATTAGGTTGCAGCCGGTCATTTTCAAATTAGGAAAAAAGTTGTAACTCCCTCTGGTGGCAGCTTAGGGAGTTACAGGCAGAAAGCATTATTTACCCTTCATTCTTGTTTCACCATATTTTCTACTAAAGATGTTTTTTTCACTTTCTTAAACATGACAAAGTAAATAGTCCCATTATGATTTTATAATAATATATTGTTCTCTAAAAACATATCTGAAAACCAAGTATTCAAATATTGGATTCTCAACAGTGTCCCCCCCCCCGCGCCACCCCTGCTCTCTCAGCCCACCCCCGGCCCCCACCCACGGCCCCCACCCACAGCCCCCACCCACGGCCGTGGAGCCACACAGATGAGAGGCGCTGGAGTGAACGCATTTGGATTCTCAAATCAACTGTTTTGATTTGAGTTTAGTTACAGCTACGCATGACGCACTCTATTA